CGAGCCGGGCCCGCCGCCCTCAGCCCGCCATGGCCGAGCCTGCGGCCTCTTCCAGCTCCGGCGCGTCGCTGCCGCTCATTGAATCAGGTAATACCGCGGGCCGGCGTGAGGAGGTGCCGCTGGTGCCGCCATCTTCCTGCCCCCCCCTCAGGATGGGTCACGGCCGCCCCCCGGCTCATCCCCCGTGTCTCTTGCCGTGTCTCTTACAGAGCTTTACTTCCTCATCGCCCGGTTCCTGAGCACCGGGCCCTGTAGGAGAGCGCTGAAGGTGAGTCCGGGGCTCACCGGGGCGCGGGGACCCCGCGCTGCCCGCAGAGGTGCGGGGGGAGGTGGGAGCAGCCGCGCCCCCCGCTCTGGAGGAGCCAAATCGTGGCTTGTCCCTGACTCTGTGTTTTTCCCCCTTCCCTCTGCAGGTGCTGGTACAGGAGCTGGAGCAGCACCAGGTCTGTGTGGGCTCTGATGAAATCTTGCTGTAGTCAAAAGTTTCCTTTGCAAGTCATTCAAGTTTCTGCCGCTGTCTCAACTTTTCCCCTCTCAACACATTGTTTTGGATGTGGTCTGTAATGCCTCCTTCCCCCTTTAACTGCTCACGTTTTTTTTGTTTTTCCTTTATTTAGTTGCTTCCCAAAAGATTGGATTGGCAAGGAAATGAGCATTATAGAAGTTATGAAGAATTGGTGAGACTTTTCTGTTTTAAAAACCCCTTCTATTTACGGTGATAATAGTGATGTTAGACCCTCTACCTTTAAGAGTAGGCCCAAATCTTCACCTTCGATTACCATTCTGGCTCGGAACACTGGAGTTACTTTAGAAAAGACCTTTAATTTTTTTACATCTGACTAACAAAAACACAATCGGTGGTTTAAATTGAGGATATTGTTTACATAGCAGAGGTGGAGCTTGGCGTTGTGCAGTGGGTACATGCCACTGCCTACATGCAGGCAGGAGCCAATCTACAGCGAGGTTTCATTTCGGAGTTTCAGGGCCCAGGTTGTGAGGCATGTTGTGATTTGTCGGTATTTATTTTCTGGTTGGTTTCTTTCAGCCCCCTCCAACAGATTAGGAAATGAAATCGCTGTTCAGTAACCGAGGGTTGGCAGTTGTGGTGCCTGTGAATGTGCTCATATCGCCAGCTCCTCGCTGGTCATGGCTTTGTTTCTAACGTGCTGGAAGGATGGGGGTGATCACTCCACAGAATGTACTTTCTGCCCTGCCACGGCTGATGTGGTGTGTTCTGAATTGTTTTTACAGAAGGCAGAGCTTTGTTTTGGGGCTTAATTTTGCTGCTTCTTAAATGGCAAAGAGTTTGAATGCCGGGGAGTGATGGCCTGGTGGTGCCTGCCCTGCTCAGTGTTGTTTTTGTCCTGCTTTATTGTGTTTGATAGAGCTTTTAAAGAAGAAGCACTATCCTTGCTTTTTCCCACCTAAGGATCAGGCATTCCAGGTTAATTGTCTGATAGTTGCAGTGAACTTGTGAATCACTTAAAGATCTCAGGATGGTATTTGCATAGAGAAGGAATGAAATGCTTTTTAAAACATTTTCTTAATTATTTCAGTATCTTGAAATGATAAGTTTGAATCTGTTTCCTCTACTCGTCGTTGTGGTCGGTTGAGCAAGGAAGGTTTTTTAGATCAGTTTTTTTAAGTCACTAAGAAGCTTGGCCTTGCTAAACAGGAATATTTTCAAGATCTGACTTGAATTTAGGCAAGATGAAAGTAGGACTAAGCTTAAAAAAGAATTGTTGGGAGTTTTTCTTGTTGCTTCATTGTTGGTTTCTTACCCCATTTGTTCTGACAGAAAGCAGGGTGTTGGGAGATCCCATGTGTGTATTTTTCTGATTTCAGGGCTGCTTTTTTACTGTGATTCTTCTGCATATACAATTGTCAAACTACTTCTTTAACACATGCTGCTTCTCCCTCTTTTTTCCTGCACAGTTTAAAGGAAATCTCTACACAGGGCAGTACTGTTTCTAAATATCTAAATTAATGTTCTCAAGGTTTTAGTTTCTGGTTTTTGAGGGTCTCTGGGAACCTCTAGTCCCACTGGTCTCTGAATTTGCAGAGACCACAGATAAATGCAGTCATGTGGTGTAATTATTTCTATTCCACTTTGCTCAGCATGGAATTGCAAATCTTTAAAATAACTGTTCCTTCCAAAATCTCAGCAAAACTGCTTTAAAAAGAAAGGAGTTGCAAGGCTTTGTATGCAAGGGTTTAATTTAGAAAATATACTTATTGCTGATGGCATGCAAACAAAAAGGGTTTTAGTGTTTGGCAGAAAGCACGCTGACCTTTCTGTCCTGAATGTTGTGGCTGGTACTGCTCTGTACCAGTTCAGGAGTCAAAATTGATAAAGAAATTATGTCAAACTTCATTTTGTAATCTTTGGGCTACCAGATATGTTTCTTATAATCAACCTTAAGCATCTGATGGGCTGATTTGCTTGGATAGATTTGCCTGTGGGGTAATGGGAACTATTTTACTGATGTTATCACCTCCCACCTTACCAGGAATACAGCCTGTACCCCACAAGCTTTACACCTGGATTTTATTATTAAAAACAAGTACAGGGCTGTGACTTGAATTGTACCTTCTGAATGCTCAGTGTGCATTTGGGCATCTTTTTGGCAGCATGTGGTATTTTTATTCCCCCTGTTGTGATGAGCAGACCAGCCCTGTTAGGACACTTTGCTCATCCAAGCTCAGTCATTCAGCCAAGGGAACAGCATTAGCAGCACGAGCTTGTTCTGCCTGTGTTCTCAGCTACCTGGGCAAGCGGCCACATACCTGAGCTGGTGTGGCCCTGAGCCTCTCCTGGATATGGATTGGTTGGGAATTGTCTGGCTGCTGCAGGAGCACTGGGGCTGCTGGGGCAGACTGGTTTCTTCATGGCCAGGTCACACTGGATGAAGTGTGGAGCTGTTGGTCCCAGCTGCTTCAGACATCCCCAACAGCTTCAATTTATGATTCTGATAGTTTGCTCTATTCAAGGCTCTTCAAACTCTTATTTTGTGCTTTTAACTTCTGCATTATTGTGGTTGTCTTTATAAGAACAAGAATTTTTTAGATTGAACTCCCAGAAAGAAAGGAGGGAAAAAATAATCAAAACCCGCACGCATCTGTTCTTGTCTGAGACATCTGAGTGTGTGTGTGGGGGTGTATTTTTTTTTTTTTAGGTTGCTTGATGCAGATAGTGTGGGATCATTCCTGAACGTAGGGATGACTGGTTTGATCCTTTGGTTTAAGGAAGTAGGGCAGACTTAGGCTATGTAGTACTGGTTCTTCAAGGAAAGTGTTTCCAGAGAGATTATACTCAAACCTGCTGGTTTGTAGTTTGCTGAACAAGTCCCAGTAGTAGCTGCATAAATTCTTGTGCTTGATTGCAACCACATTCTCCGTGATCTTGAGTTAGGATGAATTTTATTTCTTATTTTTTAATATAAGTAATAGGGTGAATTGGGCAAAGACAGTGTAGGGTGCCTCACAAGTGGGTGCCACAGGGGTGATTCCAGCAAACTTCCAGTAATAAAGTACTGATAGGCAGTGAGCAGCTTTACTCCAGTTATTTTTGCTACAGCTGTGCCTAGCTTGCAGTGTACCCACTGAATTTACTAGATCAGAACTTAACAGAATTCATTTTTCTCTGTAAGTTGAACTTAAAAAAATATATATATATCTGTGTTGCATATTGATGCTTTTAGTTTCATCTCTTCTGGGTGTACTATCCTTATCCTTAAACCTTGAATTTCTGTCAGGTGCTGTCCAACCAGAGTTTGGATTTGGGGAATAGTGTAAGAAAGTCAGAACTGACACTTTGGAAGTGACCCTTTGGAGAATCCCAGGATGGTTTGGGTTGGAAGGAACCTTGAAGCTCATCCCATTCCCACCCCAGGCGTGGCAGGGGACACCTCCCACTGTCCCAGGTGCTCCCAGTGTCCAGCCTGGCCTTGGGCATTGCCAGGGATCCAGGGGCAGCCCCAGCTGCTCTTGGGCACTGCCAGGGATCCAGGGGCAGCCCCAGCTGCTCTGGGCACCTGTGCCAGGGCCTGCTCACCCTCACAGTAAAAATTTTTTCCTAACATCCCATCTAAACCTATCCTTCAGCTTGAGGCAATTCCCCCTTGTCCTTCTATTCCAAGCCTTTGTGAAAAATTCCTCTCCAGCTTTCCTGTAAATCTCCTTTAGCTACTGAAAAGTTCTTGAGATCATCTCATTGAATAACTTGATATTAATAATTACTCATTACATTCCTGTATAAATATTCAGGAAAATGTTAAAAATCAGTTTAAATTTTAGTTTTGTGTCATGTGAACTGCAGGGGTACCATCATTTAGGAGTAATTTCAAAGTTTGGTGGTTGGTTGTGTTGATTTTTTTCTCCCTGTTACTATTAAATGGATTTTCTCTTTAACTCTTCACTGTTTGTGAGAAGTTTTGGGGCAGTTGGTGCCTGTTTTTTTGATGGGTTCAGTCCTGTGTTTGAGACCAGTCTAGATGGGCTCTTTGCTGTGTTTTGGAACTGCAGCTCTTTTGGTATTTTTAACAAATGCTTATGATGAACTCCAACTGTTTTTGTAGATTGCAGGAACACTGTTTGGAAGGGCTCTGCATTTGCTGCTCTTCATCGAGGCAGACCCCCTGAAATGCCTGTGAACTATGGCACCCCACCAAATCTTGGTAAGTTCCTCTCAGCTCTCCCCACTGCTGCTGGGCACATCTAAAATACTGGTTTTACACACAGGAAAAATTACAGATAGCACAAAACCTGACTTTATGAAATCTGAAATTTATTTCTAGTAGCTTTTTAATATTAATGGCAGTTGAATAAACCCAAGTTTTAGAACAGGCATGTTTGAAACATGATGTGATTCCTCTGTGTTCTAGTGGAGGTGCATCGAGCAAAGCAATTAACTGGATATGCCAAGTTCAGCACTTCCTTCCCAGGAAGTATGTACCAGCATGTCAAGATGCACAGGAGGATCCTTGGCCATCTCTCTTCTGTATATTGTGTTGCATTTGACAGGACTGGACACAGAATATTTACTGTAAGTTGATGAGCTACATCCAACTCTGAATATAGTTTTAGGTGATACAAGGAAAAGAGCTTGGACGTGGGTGTTTTGCTAAAACTTCTGGAGATAAATATCAATGCTGGTAAAATGTAGCTCCCTCGCTGTGCTTAAGTGGAACAATTTGCTGTAATTAAAGGTCAGAAGCATGTCAGAAGTTGTCCTTCATGAATATTTCTTTCTAGGGCTCAGATGACTGTCTGGTGAAGATCTGGTCCACTCACAATGGCAGATTATTTGCCACTTTACGAGGACATTCAGCTGAGATTTCTGACATGGCTGTGAACTATGAGAACACCATGATTGCAGCTGGGAGCTGTGACAAGATGATCCGAGTGTGGTGTCTGAGGACTTGTGCACCAGTTGCTGTCCTCCATGGGCACACAGGGTCCATTACCTCATTGCAGGTATGGGGCTACTGAAGTGTTTCTGCATATTAAAAACTGAAATTATTTCTCTCTGCCTGCCTATGGGTGGAGTGAAATCTGAATGTGTAAATATTCATGTCAAAACTAAGTCAAATCACAGGATAAACCTGCTTCAAAACAAGTAAAGTCCTCATCTTTGTGGAATTCTTAAGTATTTAACTGAAGATAATGACAGGAATTCTTTTTCACTTAAAGATCACTACCTATAATACTTGTTGGAACAAAAGGGAATTTTGGGAAATATCATGTCCTCCTGTTGTCTCTTACTGGAGACATGATTTGCTATTTTGTGTGAATATGTTGTGATCCAGTTTATTATTGCTACAACTTTTGGGATGTGGGTGTTTGTTTTAATCTCAAAAATAGAAGTTGTTTCAGAAGGACAAAGGTGTAACGTGTGTATTTAAATTTCAAGATGGTTTGATACATGATGTGCACTTGGTGGTCCTGTGGATTCAGTCTGGTTTTGGTCTTTAATTGCCTTAATTAAGACAGAAATTAGTAGCTTATTATCCAGGTTTGGAGTGTTTTCCAGTGAGACCAACAGCTTGTGTTGAGGGGTGAAGAGTGGCTTGTGGAGTTCAGTACAAACAAATAATTCAGTGTTTTTCTCAAAAATGCTGCCTCACAGAGTAATCTTCATACCTGGACTTTCTGTGGCATTCATTGCTTTTTTTAGTTCAGTTGGTTTTTAATGCCTGAATACTTGTGGTGCTTCTTTTATTGTAGTGTGTGAATTTTTTAACTTAAGCTTTCTTTATAGTACCATAATTGCAACATGTACAATTTACATGGCTTTTCAATATTAGTAATTGAAGAACAATTTAAACAAGTTGTGTCTAAAGTTTTCTGAAGGGTAGTAGCTCTGTGCACAGCAATAAATCCATGTCTTAAAGAACTATTTCTGAGGAATTCCCATTAAATTCCTATAAAATTACATATGATTCTGTTACACATTCGAAGTATCTCATGTCTTACGCTCTGCTTAATTGTTTTTAAACTACACCTATCTATTCAAACTTCTCTTTTTTCAGTCTGCTGTGCTCATCATTTCATTCATTGCCAGGATTTTCAATGAATAATTGTGGTCAGTGAAAACATCAAACCCAAACCACTGAAGGAATTGGGGTTTTTTAATGCAGTAGCTGAAACACAGACCACAAACTTATCCTAAAGTAGGGAGGCATTACTTTGTAAACACTAAAAATGAGTTACCAACGACTGCTCTAGCAATATGAGGTGAAAAACCCAAAATAAATCAAGCTTTTACATTGACTTTTTGAGAAGTTCATGAACATTAAATCATTTTATTTTAACATAATTTAAAACATTAAATCTGTTTCTGTGTGTGATTTTGCTTTCCTCTCTGTAGTTCAGTCCCATGGTGAAAGGCTCTCTGCGATACATGGTCTCGACTGGGGCAGATGGAACTGTTTGCTTTTGGCAGTGGGATACAGATTCCATGAAATTCAAGTATGTGAATGGTTTCCTGATGAACCTTTATGCTATCCTAGGCTTGAGTAAAATTAGCCAAGTGCTTTTCACTCCACTGGGTTTTTGTGGTTATAAAAATGCTGTGCAAATCATCGTTTTCCATAGTTATTTTAAAGCACCATCACCAACTATATCCTTTACAAATTAATGTTATTCCATTGACTTGGGAGATTAATTGGGAAATATATTCATTTCTTTCTTCACTAAAAGTACAAATGTAGGACAACAGGAATGGCTGGAAATATAAGTATGCTGGAAAGTATAATAAGACTTGGTGGTGGTGTTGGTTTTCCAATAGTCCCGTAGTTTTAGGATGTTTCTAACAGAACTTGCATGCAGGATATGAATATTCAGGATAGTTTGAAATGTTCAATATGTAATTATTTTTTTTAGTACCCAGAAAAATTAATTGTTACCAAAAAGAGCTCTAGAATGCTCAGTGTGTGGCTGGTGTTGTGCGACATCATGGTAATTGGTATAAAATGATACGTGTTTGAAGAAACATCTCTTTATGTTTTGAAATGTTGCTAAAAGCCAAGTTTGGGGTGGTATTGCCTATTTCAAACATCTTTTCTTTTTAAGCACCAAGCCAGTGAAGTTCACAGAAAAACCCAGACCAGGGGTTCAGATGCTTTGTTCTTCCTTCAGTGTGGGTAAGTCAGATGGAGTTCAGCCTTGTGATTTCTTCTTTCCTCTCATGTTATACTTGATTGTAACAGCTTTAAAATGGACAAAACCTGCAGTTGTGAGTCAGTAATTGCACAGATGTGCACTGTTAGCTGTGACATCATTAAATCATGGGACTTGCCTTAGCTAACAGTGAAAGACTGTTGAAGGGGTTGGTGGTTTCACAGAAGTAAAAGTCACCCAATGTCTGTTTGCTTCTCTCCATCTTCACTGGAAGATCCAGAAATGTATCTTTAATGTGCTTCCTTCCTGGCTTTTAGTTTCCTTTCAATCAGTTCATCTGAATTCCAGAAATAAAAAGGAAATCAAAGTGTAGCTTGTTAATATTGTCAGGATAAAGCCATGGCTTGTGTTGAGAGGGTGTTTTTGACATTTTTCTTGTTTATTTGTTTTGGGTTTTTTTTTGACAGCACTTAAAGGCAGATCTTGAAATTTCTGCCAGCACAGCTAAATACTGGTGTGCTTACACTGGTGTACTTCACTTGACTGGTTTACTCACATTTCAGCCTAATTTTGATGCAGTTCACTTGCACAAACGAGGCACAGACTACAGTGAGAGTCATCTACATAATTCTGATTATCCATAGCCATATTCTGCACCATTGAAGGCTTCTCTGTGCAATTTAATGTTAAAAGTTCCACTATTGCCCTAATGATATATTTTAAGATCTTTATAACACTAATTTATTTTTACTATGGTTTAGAACACTTTCTGGGGCAAGAAAGGGATTTCCTTCTACATATGTGTGTCAGTGGAAGAGCATAAAAAATGTGCCATTCTTCAAATAGTAGTTGGGGTTTTTTTTTTTATTTAAACCAGGACTCTCAGAAATGGTGGTGACCTGTTTTAATTTCTTCCACAGCAGGTTAATTATTGCTTGATTTTTACAGGTGGTATGTTTTTAGCAACTGGCAGCACTGACCATGTCATTAGGATGTATTTCTTCGGCTCTGAAACACCTGAGAAAATAGCTGAATTGGAAAGTCATGCTGTAAGTAATTAGTTAATTAGTTACTTGAAGCAGCATTGAAGTCACGAGGTGATTTTTGAGAGTTTTTTTAGCAATGCTCTTAATTAATTTTGTTTGCATTAATGTTTCCTCTACTACAAAATCTGACTTTATTTTTGTTGCATTGATAAGGCTTGATCAGGACTTATTTTTTATGCAGATGAGACCTTTCCCCTCTAAGATAAAGTGTGGTATCTAATTTTCCTTTTTTATTGTGATAAAAATGAATAATTGTTTATTTTTTTAAGGAACATGTAAGTAGGAGAAGGAACAATAGATTCCTCACCTTTGTAGTTGGCTTAGAGTATTGGAAATATATTTAAATATGATTCATTTGTCAGCCAGGTTGTTTAATCTGTTAATCCTTCATGTTCAATCCAGGCAGTTTTTTAAAGATGTGTTTTAAATACATTAATGGTTAGTGAATTCTGGGAAGTGTTTGGACTTGGTTTGCCTTGAAGTTAAAACTCTTAGAAATTACACAATATTTTGTTTTTTCATTATTTCAGATTTTACGAAGCTCAGAATTGTCAAAAAATGTATTTCCTGTTTAAAAAAAAAAATTCTAACAAACTCTGCTTTTTCTTACAGGACAAAGTTGACAGCATTCAGTTTTCTAATGGAGGGGACAGGTATGTTGAAAGATGGTGAAATACAGACAAAAATTACATAATTTTGGAATTAAGATTCTATTACTGGATGTTCCCAATAAGAAAAATCTACTTATTTAGAAGGGAAATTTTGGACTGATGCAGGAGCATAATTAAGCTTCAGCTGTTCTAGCTTTCTGTTGATCTGTGTTAGGTGATATTTTTAGCCTGGTTGGGGTTTTATTTACCTGGAGGAATTTTACCACTTTTTAATGCACCCAAAATGTTTGTGGCCTCGTAAATCTCCTTTTCAGCCTCTTTTCCTTTCAGTTTCACTGAGTATTACATGGGAAATAAGAAAAATCAATTATAACCTTTTAATCTGATTTGTTCTTACCTCTACTTCAGTATCTGAAGCTCTGCAATTACTTAAAATACATTGAAATCCTGTACTGAGGAGGAGTTGCGAATGAGTTTGTGAATTGAGTTAAACTTTGGAACTTACTTCTCGTGTTTTGACAGCTTTATTCAGTTTTCCAGTTGAGAAAAACTATTTCCTGGTTTTCTGGAAAGAAAATTAATGGAAAGAATTCTCTTGAACACAAATTGAAGATTTCATTTCTATCAATCTTTCACTGCAAAATTTATGTTGTGGTCATGTGTAACTCTAAACATACTTTAAGGCAAGTTTTTTGGAAGACACATGAATTAATTTTTAATACTTGTTCAGGTTCATAAGTGGCAGCAGAGATGGAACAGCTCGGATCTGGCGTTTCGAGCAAGCAGAATGGAGGAGCATTTTGCTGGATATGTCTGATCGACTACTGGGGTAGGTGAAGTGTTCATTTCTTGGTTTCTTTTGTGTGAATTCAGAAAGATTGAAAAACTCAATTACTCAAATGTGAGAGTGAAAGCAACATCCTGGTCAAGTTCTGTGGTCTTGTGAAGGGGTGAATTGAGTCTTCTGATGATGTAATAATTGCTGAATTTGAGTCTCTGCTTTCATGAATTCCTAAGTGTTCATAAAGCTCTCAAATTTACTGTCTACCAAATAAATTTTATTGCCTCTTTTCAGGGTAAAAAGTGAACAGAAAAAATCCACCTTCTCTATCTGGGTTTTAGTCTGACACCTGGTGTGTCACGGGAGAAATATTTTTAGATTAGTAAAAATAAAGTAGGTGGTGACCTATTTGCAGGAGAGGTTATGACATGGAATAGGTGGCTTTCCTCAAGGATAATCTTGCTTTTCCCAGTTTGTGCTTTTAAAAAAATGAATTAATGAAATGCTGATGGTGCCCAGGCTGAATAATGTTATTAGAGATAAAAATCAGGATTATCACGTGGTGTTGGGTAAACCTGAAGGGGGAATGATTTACAGGAGCACAGAAACTCAGTAAGCTTCTACAGACACTGTACAGAAATGAATTTGTAGGTGATTAAATGAGATTTTAATTAAACGAAAAGCCAAACCTTGGGTACACAACTTGATTGGAGGGTGATTTCAGGCTTTTCCTGTGATGAAAAAGACCATGGAAAAAGCCATGAAAACCCCAGATTTTACAAAGAAAGGAGGAGTTATTAATAATATTTGAGATTTGACTGTAGCTATGTAGTTTAGAGTCTTTGTAAGAGGCATCTGCTTGAAGTGGAATGGAGATAATCCCATGTGAAGGTGTTTCAAGGAAAACTTACTCCTTTGCTTGGCTGAAAAAAGGCTGAGGGGCAGTGTTCTGGTATCCTGTAATTGTATTTTGGAGAGAGAATAAGGAAATAGATTAAGGTTAAAACAAAATGTTATCTTTACTGTATTTCTGTTGGATCTTATTAAAAAATGCTTATCTAATGTAGAGATTGGCTTGGGAATCAGTTAGTTGGAAAAGCTGACTGTAAAAGGTCCCAAATTTTAAGGGATTTATGTTAGGACTCTAATTGTAGAGGAGCCAAGACTCCATGAAAAAGGAAAGCCTTTTTGCCTTGCATCTCAAATGGGAAAGAGATTATCAAGTCCTTAAAAATTTAAAAATCCAGATTTGCTTTAAATGAAGGATTTTGTGAACAAACGTTTCAACCCAAATTGAATTCTTTGCTTCCTCTCTGTTGTTTGATTATTAACAAAGGAGAACAGGTTATTGTATTTTGATATAGAAATTGGTTAATTAAAATATAAAATACATCACTGACCTGTTTGACTTTTTTTAAATAGTGACAGTTGTGCAGAAGAAGATAAATTCATGAAACCTAAAGTTACCATGATAGCTTGGAACCAAAATGACAACTATGTTGTTACGGCTGTGAACAATCACCTGCTCAAAGTTTGGAATTCCAGCACTGGGCAATTGCTCCATGACTTGGTGGTATGGAATTTTCCTTGCTTTTGGAAGATGTTCCTGGAATTGCAGTGACATGTGCATGCTGAATTTATAATTATTGCTGATGAGTCTTGAAAGCTCTGTATGGGTGGTACAGTAGATGTGGTGTTCCTTGGAATTCTTTTGACCAAAATTTGCTGCTTCCTTCTGCTTTGGACTTTCCCCGTAAATAAAATAACAAATAAATGTGGAACAAATAAAATTCTGGTGCAGTAACTTGCCCATTGAATAATTCACCATCCTTTGGCTAAAACTTCATGTTTCTACAGCTCTTGCTTGAATCTAGAAAACTTTTACCTTTGGAATGTTCAAATCTTTGTGGCTGCCTGGGGTTTAATTTTCCAGACAGGACAGCATGGGCTTTGGATTCTGTTGTGAATAACCTGCTGATGTGGATTTTCCTTGTTTCCCTGTGATGTGCAATTTGAAATTGCAGGGCCATGCAGATGAAGTGTTTGTCTTGGAGACCCATCCCTTTGATTGCAGGATAATGCTGTCTGCAGGCCACGATGGCAACATCTTCATATGGGACATCACCAAAGGCACCAAGACAAAGCATTATTTTAACATGGTAAGAGCTTCTTTAAACTCCATTTGTTCCCAGCACACAGCAGAATGATCACTACCAACCTAAGGAATTGCCAGCAACACTCACACCCCTGCACCTTTAGGGAAATAAAAGAAACCCCAAATAACTAAACAGAAAAATCTTAACAGCAGAATTCATTAATTTTTTTTTTCCATAGAGATTTTTTACCGTAGAATTTCCTGATTATTGCATATTTTCCACTCTTTGTTACTGAATATCATTGTGTGCTTCATTCATAGTAATTGTTTTCCTCAGCTAAGGTGAGGTGCCATCTAAAAGGCTCTGGTTTAGGCCATTGTTTCAAGACACTTGTGGACAGATACTTAAAAAAGTCTTAAAAATTATAATCTTACTATCCATTGGCACAGTGCTTGAGGGCTCCATTTGACAGCTCAACATTAACATTTTAAAATGAGTTATTTTCTCTGAGACTTAGGTTCTGATCTAATGTTCATATAAATTTTTTATCATTTTTTTCCCTGGTCATTCAACAGCAAAGAATTTCCATTTTTAAGATCTTAAATTCTCTGGGTTTGTCTAGAAAGTTACTAACAAAACCAATCTATATTAGTTCCAGTTTATTTCAAGCAGTGTGCTGACAGCTAAAAAGCCTCAGAAAAACATGTTTGTTTCCTTATTTTATTCACTGAACAGTAACTTTTCATACCCTCTAGTTCATCTTTTAGAATTGGTTCAGGACTTAATTCAAGGAGGAAAGAAATATACTGAAGTAACAAAATTCATTGTGTTAATGGAGGTATTTAGGGAAATGCATGGTGGCTTTTGATAGAGTAATTAATTTTTGATGCTTATGGTTTGCTCTGAAAAACGTTCAAATAACTTGAATTTTTTTTTCTTTCAATGCAGATTGAAGGCCAGGGACATGGAGCTGTTTTTGACTGTAAATTTTCACCAGATGGGCAGCATTTTGCATGCACAGATTCTCATGGACATCTGCTGATATTTGGCTTCGGCTGTAGCAGGCCTTATGAAAAGGTAAGTTCACTTTTTATCAGATCTCTGTATCAAGATTCTAACTGAAATTACATTAGTATGTTAATTAATTTAAAAGTTCATATGTGAAAAATAATTTGTGTGGTTAGAGGATCTAAATGTAATGGATTCCCTGATGTCTGTAAATTGTCTTGCTTATATGATCCTGGAATAGCAGAAAAAAAAACAATGTCTTAACATTCCCATGGGAGTAGCTCTGAAGAATGTTCCTGGAATACATTTTCATCTTGGAGACAGCTAATTCACCTTAATTGTTCAGCCTCAAAAATGCTTCTGATTTCTGCTGGTTTATCTTGCAGTTCTTCAGGTCTTTCCTCACTCAAGCTCAAATTCACTGTAGTTAATTAAATTAAGCAAAAGTAATTTATTGATCCAATGCTGTGGATTTTGAAATACTAGAAAAATATGCATAAGATAAGCGTCTGAATTTATGAAAGACATTTTTGAAATTTTTGAATTTTTTTTAATTCAGTTTTTGAATTTATCAGTCTGCTGCCTTTTTGTTTTGATAAATACACATTATTTTCTTCACTTCCCCTCCATTTTTTTTCAGGTTGCAATGCTAATTCCATATGTGTCATTTTAAAGAATTATTTTTTCCTTGCTCTACATTCCCAACTGAAGTGGAAACTTGTTCCCATCACTGCTGGAAGCAAACATTCTGACTGCGATCTAATAGTTATGTAACCATTTTCCTTAGCCTCATGGACTCAGCAGACTTTCAGTTGTAGGAAAAAACTTCAGGTGGATATAGATTAAGAAAGAAATCATGATTAGGAAATCGTTATTTTGAGAGCTGATGTTGAGCTTTAGCCAAAGATTTCCTTGCAAGGAAACTTAGGGCCACTCACTTAAGAGTTGCACTTGGTGATCCTTGTGGGTCCCTCCAACTCTGAATATTCTGTGATTCTGATAATTGTAGGGGAAAAATGTACTATGACAGATTAATATTTTTAAGTGTAAAACAGTACTTTTGCATCAAGTTACCTCAGCTTTTTGTTTTCTGAAAGAATTTTGTTGCCTGCAAAAGTGCTATGGAGGATTGCAGTACTGCAGCACCCATCCAGGTTAACTGAAGTTACACATGAATCTTCTAATTGGGAACGTGCCCTTTCTTTTAAGTAGATTTTAGAGACTTTAATGCTTGTTCTTTAGCGTATTTTTTTTTTCCAAATTGCTGACATAAAAATAAAATTCCCTTTTAGATTCCTGATCAGATGTTCTTCCACACTGACTATCGGCCGCTGATCCGAGACTCCAACAACTACGTGCTGGATGAGCAGACTCAGCAGGCCCCTCACCTCATGCCCCCTCCCTTCTTAGTGGATGTGGATGGAAACCCTCATCCAACAAAATATCAAAGATTGGTGCCAGGAAGAGAGAATTGTGCAGATGAGCATTTGATTCCTCAGCTTGGATATGTAGCAACAAGTAAGACTATCACTAAAGCTCTATATTCAGGAGTGGTTTATGCATTAGTTCCTAAGGGGACGTCAGCAATTTTAAAATATCTTTTTTTTTTTTTTTCACTTGATATTTTGTATTTATGTTCACTAAAGATGCTGGGAGGTCCTACAGTGAATAGAATTTAAACAAGAAAGAAAAAAATCACTTATTCAAATGGTGTTGCAGTTCTTTTCTGTGGGCAGTGGTGTTCACACACTGTTTGGTTGTACATTCCATAAATGTCTTACTTGGAATAAATAATTGTAATAACTTCATTCATTTGATCTGTTTTACACTTGCAAGGTGATGGAGAAGTTGTTGAGCAGGTGATAGGCCAGCAGACGGTTGACCAGGATGAGCCCGGCCTGGAGCCCAGCATTCTGGATGGGATGATCAGACAGCTACAGCTGGAACAGGATCAGAGAACTGGAGCTGACCAAGAATCTGCTCCAAGTGGCCCCCAAAATGGAGAGGGAACACCCAGGAGAGGTCAGGACTGCTGATAAATTATTCAGTAATTGTTCTGCCTTCATTTTAATTGTGCTGTGTGAAATACTGAAACAGGTTTTAACTTCAGTGTAGTTTTGGGGACTGAGATTCCTTTAACATTGTGATACCTGGTTATTTTTATTCATTAAAACACTGTTGCTCCCATGATTAAATTATGAAGCCTTTAAAGCCTACTTTAAAAGAAAAAGGTCATTAATAATGTGCAAAATACATACAATAGAATTTTTTGCAAATGTTTGCCCAATATAAATTATTTTTGCTTTCCTTACTTCTTGCAAAGTATTTTGCCATTATTCTAGCTGTTTCCCCCTGTCCCTTCTTTACTGAGTTAAACAAGACACTTTCCTAAGCTGTGGCTTTGTGATTTTAATAATGTAATTATATAAAATAGATGAAAAAAATATATTTTTTCTTACATAACTATATATTTAATTATATGTGCTCAGCTCTAGGAAGGGTGCTTTTTAGGGCCTCACTGGCCTCAGAACTGTCTGAAATAGTTCAGAAGAGCCCTTCTGTCACACCACAGTTCCTTTCACCGTGGGGCGTTTGGGAAACCACTGGAATGTGGCACTCGGTGCTCTGTCTGGTTGACAAGGTGGTCATTAGAGAAATGCTGGATCTTGAAGGTCTTTTTCAGCCTGAATGACTCTGATTCTGTGAGAACAGTAGCAGAAACAACCATTTTTAAAGTACTTTGTGTAATCTCTGTGTTTTCTACAAGGCACACAATCCTGTGAAGGCTACAAGTCATGTACTTAGAGATAAAAACACAGCCATTATTCTTTTTTTTCTTTTTTTTTTAATCTTGTAGCAAGAAGCAACAAGCTTCCAGAGAGGGACCTGCAGGCCTGGAGGCGCAGGGTGGTGGTGCCAGAGATCCCCCCCAGCTTACTCAGGTCTGTCAGCAGCCTGCAGGTGATGCCTGGAGAGGCTGCCTAGAACAGAGGTTAGACAGAGAATAAAGTAGGGATTATTAAAGGTCTTTAAAAGATACAGCTTGTGCTGTGCAGGAGCCTGACATAGGCTACACACAAGATGGGATTGATGGTCGTGAGTTTTTCAGGCAGGAACTGATGCCTAAAGAGGCTGACCTGGAACAGAGGCTAGACAAAGGATGAAGTAGGTATTTATTGAAAGGCTTTGAAAAGATACCCATTAGGCAGTACAAGAGCCTGGCCGTGGCTCTGCCCAAGATGAACACAAGATGGACAACTGGTCATGAGTTTTCACACTTTTGTAAGTTTTGATCCATTTCCATTTTGGGGTTAATTGTCCAATTACAGCATCAGGTGATGAAGTCCCATCCTCCCAGACTGCTCCATCAGTTTGCTGTTAACATTTTTTGGGCCTGAAGTTGCAATTGTGTCCTTGGTTCTGGGGCTGAAAAGGATTGTTGTGTCTGACTGAACTGTGAGGAGAACTTACTAACACTTCATATGAAGTTCAGAGTTGCACATTAAGGCAGTACAGAATCTAAAAAATATGAAAGCTAAAACCTAAGGCATCAATATAAGTGGTCTATTTGCATATCAGAGGTTAATTTTCCACCTGTAGCTTCAGGTAATGAAATCTTATCCCCCTGGTTTGCTTCTCCCCCCTATTCACTTTTGTTTATACTTTTCGTGGCCTAAGGCAGCTGGTGTCACTCTGGTTTCCAGGCCCAGAAGTGTTTAGTCTGACCAAAATGTGAAGAGAGCTAGCTAGCATTCTATATTGAGTTCAGAATTAAACACTAAAGCAGTAATTTGTAGCATCTGAAAAATATAAAAAAATATAAAAAAATATAAAAGCTACATCTTAAGGCATCACAGGCAGCAGTGGGGACAGCACAGCAGCTTGGTTTGTATAAATTGAGTGCTGTTACACCAGAAGTAGAATGGATGCTGTTGGAATAGTTCAGTGTTGTGGGCAGATGTGCTAAAAGCTCATAATTGCAAGGTCCATTCAATGAGAAGGAAGGGATTGAATTAGTCTAGTTGAATGATTCTCCCCTATTTCAGTATTTTAAGGCATTTCCAGGTCATCTGGGTCACCTAGATTCTTGCTTTCTCCAAAATAAAAGATACAGGTTGAATTCATTTACATGGAAGAATTGGGTGAGATTGTGTTCTCTGTGAGACTTTTGGAGGTGATGAGTTATAACCCCTGGAAATGCTAAACCAGTTGCTTTCAAAAGTACTATCAGTATTCATCTGTGAAGAGGAGAATTAGTAGCTAAACATCTCTTTTTTAAAGCTACAACCACAGGTGCTACCACATTCCTCAGGGTTTTAAGAAGCATTCCCAGTGTTGGGAGGTAGAATGATTGCAAACAGAAAAATGTGAATTAAAAATAAGGATGTTTGATGTTTGGAATGAAGTCTTTCTTACCATCCATATTTTTTACTCTTACCTGGAAATGATAGGATGATTTAGAGTTAATTGAGCAACAATAACATCTGAAATTAAAAATGGAATGGAATTGGGTGTGAGAGAGATCCCTTAAAGAGACCAGCATTGTCAAAACGGGTATAGAATTAGATTTTCATGGCTTTCTTGTAGGAAACAGGAAGAATATCGGACTGCAAAAGGGGAAGAAGAGAGAGATCTTTATGCAACAGAGAAGAAAAAGTCATTTGAGTCACTGGAAAAGGTACGTGGCAGCTTCTGGAAAAGTGAATGTTCTGTGCCCAGGGACAAGTGGTGGTGTGGAAAATGAAAGCAGAGGTTTCTGCTGTGGTATTCCAAGGACCCTGATGATTCAGTTCCCAATTATTGCAGGACAAGGTTTGATTTATTTTTATGGATACCTGGAATTATTTTTGCTTTCAGTCTTGCCTGATTGTATGTGAGGAATTTGGGAGTAATTTTTAAAGGCAGGATGGCTTTCAGGCCATTCTGGTTTTGAGTGCAGTTGCACAGCTATTGAAAGTCCTAAAGCACTGAGAGCATTCAAGGTCCTGTACTTGAGGAATCACAGGGTATTGCTGTTATATTGCTGTTTGCCATTTTACTTTAGATAATTTTGTGTGGGGGGAAACTTTTGCAGACTTCCCTTCTTTCAAGTGCTTTTTTCATTACCTGTTTTGTGGGAGAGATTAGCAAGAAGGAAATACTGGTTATTGTGCTCTTTTTATAAGCTTGTTGTCCGATTCATCTTAGAGTACAAAGCAATTTGACACAAGAATTCTACTGCATGATCCCCTTTACTGAGGGGAGCTGGGGATTGAAACAAAATGATCTTGAAGGTCCCTTCCAACCCAAACCATTTTTTGCTTCTGTGATTGTGTGTTGTAGGCAGTTAATGTCTTGATTCTGTAAATACATTTATCAGGTGCTATGAATGGAGCTGGCACAGAGGTTTATAAAGAGTTTATAAATTTCTTAGAACAATTAATAAATCTTAAATTTGGAACAGCAAAATTTAAACTTTGGGCTTACATGAAAATTATTTCTTGTGAAAGGGAGTCTTAATAATGCTGTTTCAGTTGTTGCATTCAGCAGTGCTTTTAGCCACCCTTTCCCCCTCATAAAAGTTTGCCACATAAATATTTTTATTTAACTCCTGTTCTTTCCCTTCTTTATAAACTAGAGTGACTCTGAGTCTTCATTAATCCAATCAAAGCGTCGATTGCACAGACGGAAATATTCCAACTACAGAACACGGAAGAACATTGAACAGCTGGAGTCTTCAGAGGAGGAGAGGGACAACTGCTTTGGCTTGATAGAGCAGGTGAGTTCTCTTCTGAGTTTGGATTTTGAACTTGAGTTGCTCCATAAATGAAATGAAATGTGCCTTTTCACTTGAGTTGCTCCATAAATGAAATGAAATGTGCCTTTTCTCTGTTACACAAAACAAAAAACCCTACCCCTTCTTTTTCCAGACAAAGTATCTCTGTGAGCAGCATCCTTGTTAGCACTTCTCAAACCTGTTGTGTTGCTTTAATTAAGACAGTATTTCCTGTCAGTTTATAAATGGTTCAACTGGTTTTGCAGAGAATTTTCTAAAACAAATCCACAGCCCAAGGCAAAAGTCTGATGGACAATTGGTTGGCTTCAGGTGACATTTGGAGTTTAGATGTGTTTTAATGTTTTTCTGCGGAAATTGTAAAGGTTCTTGCTAATGTGATTCTTCCACAGCATCTCTTCCTCTTGGCCTGGGGTGACACAGGACTTTGTGGGTAGCAGGAGTTTTTTGTTTGTGTCTGATGTGTTGTCAGACTGGAAAAGGGTGATAGGACTGCTTGGACTGTCCTTGTGTTGCCTTGCCCACAAGGGAGTAATTTTAAGCTGGGAAAGGGAAAAGTTGAAGGAACAGAGAAGCTGAGACTTGGAGCAGTCACTTTGTTAAGGAAGAACAGTGAACAAAAGGGAGCACGTTCAGGAGACTGGGAAATCCTGGAAGTAAGATGAGGAATGGTATTCCTTGGAAATTCTGTCCTTTCCTTGCCTCTTAATAAAGAATTTCAGTGCAGCTAAAAACAATAAATCACTTAAATTGAATGTAAAGTTCAGTGGGTGTTGAACTTTGATATTGTAGGTTATCATCTACACAGTGTATGAGGACTTAGTGAGAGGACTCTTAGCTTTGTTACTCTGAAAATGACAATCAGACTAATTCAAACACTTGAAGCTACAATTGAGATCCCATGGAGTTTTATATTTTTTGGTTTTTTGTTTGACAGAGTACAGCTTGACACATGAGCCATGCATCATACTGACTCAGTTATGAAAAACACATTTAAAACATGTTAATGCAAATAGTTGATGGGCAACAATCAGGAAATTAGTAAAATCATGGTATATTCTGGTGTATCTACTGTTGCATTTAAATACATGCATGAGTGCCCCTATTAGTACTTACTCCATTGATACTAAAAGGAGAGGAGGGGAAAAAACCCTCATCTGATTCCAACTTGCATAACTAATGAAAAAAAATCATAGCAGTGACAGAACATCCCCTTGTGTATGGAGATGTGATTGTTTTTCTTGATCTATTCCTTTTGTGATGTAAATTTTTCCCTGTCAAGTCAGATTTTACAAACTATATGACCTAATTACTTTTATTTCCATTTTAACAACTGTTTTACCAAACTTCTTGTAAATTTGATAATATGGGCAAGATGTTTTTAAGTTTTAGACCCTTAAAACATGGGTTTGGCTTGAGTGTGTATTTTTAAATTTAGGAAGCTGAAGAAAGTGAGGGCTCTGGTTCATCTGATGAAGAGGAAGAGTGGAGAAGTGACAAGAAAAGCAACAGTAATAGTTCTAGGTAAAGTGAAAAAACACATCTCATAATGAGTTTTACTTGAATGTTCACAAATTAAGAGTTGTATGAAAGCTCTGTGGTGCTTATGATCATATGATAATAATGATGATAAACATATTAGGAATAATTCATTTATGTCATTGACACATTGTATTGTTACTTACTGTTCCATTTCACCAAATCATTTCTACTTTTTAATATAACTCCAAGCCCCTTTGCTTTTTTTGCCATATGGCAAGGAGAGATAAGAGTCTGGACTTTTTCTATAGTGTATTTTTTGGAGGGATGAAAGATTTTGTTTCGGAAATTTTTTCCCAGTTTCATTTGGGGAATTTTTGGATTTTGGTTTTTTACCTTGCTCCTTAAAAAAAATTTTGAAAAATCTGAATTTTTAAGTTTCTAGTTTTATGTAGAGTTGTTACAGATAAGTTTTTTTATTGCTTCATTGTGGCTATTTTAGATATTCTTCTAGAATTCTGTAGTACTAGAAATAAAAAATACTCAGAGAGAATGTGGCTGCGTAGCTGAGATTTGGGTAAGTGTAAAGTATTTAAGCAGTTTTTAGTTCATGTGTTCCTTAGGAAGGACTCCTAATTAGTCCAGAATTCCATTGTACAACTTTCTTGAATAAACTTACTGATTTTAGAATTCACCAGACTTGAGCTGTTTAAAGAAATGTGCTTTGAATTAGTGGATTCTCTCAAAAATTCATGTTAAGCTTCAAGTGAAGTCATGGTTACAACAGGGCAAAGTGAGTTTGAAGCTGCTTTCAGCAGCACTTGCTGGTATTTTTCTGAGGGAGTTCAGCATTCTGAAATAGTGAGAGCTTGGTTGTGTTTGTGTTTCCCCTGCCCTCTGTGGACAGTGATTCCTCGAGCCGATATTCCGACTGGATCGCGGATGCCGGGATCAACCTGCAGCCCCCGCTGCGCACCTCGCGCAGGAAAGCGCTCAGGTACTGCAGCACCTCCGAGGATGAGGTGTCAGCTGAGAAATCCTCTCCTCCCAAGAGGAGAAGGAGGAAGAGGAGGAAAAAACCCAAACCAAAAAAGCAAGAGGAGGTAGAGTTTTCTTTCTTTTCTTTTTTTATTTTCTACACAGTTATTTTTCTCTTAGGGGTTAGGTCTCTTTGCTAGGAACTGTTAATATAATTTTTACTGCCGTTAGCCAAGGATCTTCATGTCACTACACACAGGGTACGTGAAATTGATTTGAGATCATTCCCAGTGTGAGGGATCTGCTGATTTGTAGGGAAGAATCTGCATTCCGAGTGAAGGTGCTTTCATTTCAAATTAAAGGGGTTAATGGTATTAAAGGGGAAATGTGTTTAATAAATACCAGTACAGAAATCAGGCTTTTCCCAAAGGACAGAACAAGGGGGGATGGCTTTAAACTGAAGGAGAGCAGGGTTAGATTAGATACTAGGAAGGAATTCTTGACTCTGAGGGTGGTGAAGCACTGGGACATGTTGTCCACAGAAGTTGTGGCTGCCCTATCTCTGGAAATGTCCAAGGCCAGGATGGGCAGGACATATTTTGTTTGACAAAATACAGCTTGACACATGAGCCATGCATCAACACAAAAAATGGGCAGGGCTTGGAGGAGCCTGGGATAGTGGAAGGTTCCATGCTCTGCTTGTGGCAGGGTATGGAACAAGATGATCTTTGAGGTCTCTTCGAACCCAAACCATTCTGTGACTCTATACCTTGTTTAACTTGTCTGGTTTTTTACCTGTTATAATGCACAGGGGGCACAGTCACTGCATTCATGGTGGCCATGTATACTTGGGTTGAATTCTTAATTTTTTTCTAAATTACAGTAATTATTCTAAACTACTGAATTTTTAAAGTTAATTTAAATAATTACCTTAAATTACAATAACTACTGTTAGTTGTTTTCTCTCATAAAGAAGCAAACAATTTTTTTTTTTTAGCCTGGGGTAATTTTGATAGATTTGGTCTGCTTTTCTCTCTATCCTTTCACTTTTTTCTAAGTAGAATCAGTTTCTTGCAGCTTGAATAATTTTTAATTGTGTACTGAGACTGTCATCTGAATTATAAAACTTTCTGCTAAGGCCTGCATAATAATGACTTGCTCACTCAAATCTCCAGATAGGAAAGGAATGTTTAGTATTAGAATTACAAATACAGTTAGAACTCAAGAAAAGCCTTGGAGGAATTCTGCTGATAACCATTTGGAAATGCTGTAGATTAGTCCTCTATGAATTAAGCAGTTGTCTGCCAAATCAAAATGGAATGATTTGCTTAGAATTCATGTCCATTATGTCTGATTTTGTGAAGGCTGATGCTGCAGCACAACCCCTGAACTTGGAGTTTTCCTATGACTGGCACCCTCCAGTCTGGATCACGGACACGGCTCTCCGAAGGTCCCCGTTTGTCCCTCAGATGGGGGACGAGGTAGGAACGTGGATTAAAATCTTCCAATGCTTGTGATTATTTAATTGCTAAATACAGGAAAACATTCACTGTTTGGGCTTGTTGGGATGTTTTTTAGGTGATATATTTCCGACAAGGGCATGAAGCTTACATTGAAGCAGTGAGAAGAAATAATATTTATGAACTGAATCCACACAAGGAGCCTTGGAGAAAAGTGGTGCTGAGGGTAGGTCTGCACTGAAGGTTCTGTGGGTTTATAAAAGTGTCTGTGACTGAAGAGTTTTATTATTCAATTTGCAAAACATGGATTTGTGAGGTTACTAATACTTCTGATGGGGAAAGTGTGTTCAATTACAAGATTGTCTTCAGTATTTTCTGTGGGAGCCAAATGAAATACCTGTGTTAAAATCCTAAGGGTGACAGACTGCCTTCCATTGAAATCTCAAATCTAATTTCAGTATTTTGCACGTGGGTACAGTTGGTTAATTCATGTTAAACTAAGAGTTCTGTGCATGGTCCATAAGATTAAACTTGCTGAAGCTGTTTGTTCTTACCTGTAGGATCAGGAATTGGTAAAAATTGTTGGAATTAGATATGAAGTTGGTCCTCCCACGTTGTGTTGCCTCAAGCTTGCCTTTATAGATCACGCCACTGGGAAACACACAGACAAATCATTTTCCATCAGGTATGTGCAGTTTTAATTTCCTGAAAAGTGTTTAAGAATGTTTCTCTTCTTCCCAAAGCCCTGAGGCACACGTGAGTGACGATTTTTTTATCCAGATACCACGACATGCCAGATGTTATCGACTTCCTTATCTTACGTCAGTTCTACGACGAAGCCCGGCAGAGGAACTGGCAGGCCTGTAAGTGTTTGCTGAGTGTTGGATTGAACAGTTTTGCAGTCACAAATGTCTCCTTGGCTAATTGCTGCATGTGTAGGGTCAGAGGGGTTCTCTGGTAAGCAAGAGTCAGAAATTTGAACCTTGGAGGTCCTGCAGTAGATGTAAATACCGAATACAGCCACTAAAATACATATCCGGACTGTCCTGTTCCTGTTTTTATTTTAAAGCTAAATAACATTCTTACATGTCAGTGGACCTAGAACTTTGAAGTATGGAGAGAAATGGAACAGTACATTTATCAATTTTTTTCTGATTGCATGTGGAAGCCACAGAGTTAAATCCTTCTCTCAGTAGAATATCTGTGTTTGCTGCAGCCGACAGGTTCCGCTCCATTATTGACGATGCCTGGTGGTTTGGGACAGTGCTGGGTCAGGAACCTTATCAGCCTCAGTATCCAGACAGTCACTTCCAGTGTTACAGTGTCAAGTGAGTACAAAATTATTTCATTTCCAATGTTGTTAGAATGCCTTTGCTCTCACACAGCTGCCTCATTGCTATGAGAATGTAGAAATTGTTCATTTAAATTATCTTGCTCCTGGTATTGTTACTTCTTAATGGTTCTAAGTTGCTGCTGTAGCACAATATGGATATGTAATAACTTGTGGTATCTTGTTAATGAGTAGTAATATGGTAAAAGCAGCTGTTGACCTCTTCACATTTCCTGTACTGGGTAATTCTGGGTCCCTTCCACAAAGCAAGCAATGCAGTTTTCTGTGAATGTTAATTATTGGTCTGCACTGATGGTTGGTTTGGGGATGCTGAATCTCCTCTGTGGTTGCTGACAAGGTCTTTATGCCTCAGGTCCTCACACTTTGTCTTTTCACATTGTGCGCCCTTTTCCATATCAACAGAGAGGCCTTCAGACAAAGGAGGGGAATGGAAAACAAAGATATCTCTGGACTTCAGTGTTCAGATTCAGGATATTGACCTTGTTCTGCCCTGTCAAAGCTGTCTGGAATAGAAAAACAGAATGGTTTGTGTTGGAAGGAACCTTAATGATCATTAGTTCCAAGCCCCTGCCATGGGCAGGGATACCTTCCGCTATCCCAGGTTGCTCAGAGCTCCAAAACTGGCCTTGGACACTTCCAGGGATGAAGTGGCCACAACTTCTTTGGACAACTTGTGTCAGGGCCTCACCACCCTCAGAGACAAGAATTCCTTCCTAGTGTCTAATCTAACCCTTCTCTCTGGCAGCTTAAGGCCATTCCCCCTTGTCCTTCACTCCATGCCATTGTGAAGGTCCCTCTCCAGCATTCTTGTCACCTCCTTTTGGCACTGAATGGATAATTCTGGAATTTTGCTTGGTTTTCCCCCAGCAAGGGAGGACTGTAAGGAGAATAAACAGTGAATATTCATTATTGCTATTTCCATCATGCCCAGGGACAGTTCCCATGTGTTGCACAATACATTTAATAATCACAGTAACATTCTTGGAGTACTTCTTAATTGCTTTTTCACTCAGAGGCTTTTGAAGCTGTTGCTCACCACAAAGAAGGGAAATTCTATAGCTGATAGACAATCCAGTGAGACTGCCAAGATTGTCTTACATGTTTTGGTTCCTTGTCTCATCTACTTGTCTTCTCTCTCAATAATTTTCCTTGGTGGGAAGGTGGAAGTAACTCCCAGGTTGAAGTTCTTGCCTCTTACCTTCCCTTCTGTATTCCATCCATTCCATGTCTTTTGTTGTGTAGCACAGATGTTCCTTAGGAGCAAGTTCAGGTGGGCTCTGGATGTTTCTTGGCCAGTTCACAAATCGAGTTTCCAGTTACGAACAAAAGCCTGGTGCCAGTTTTTCCTAGGCTTCTTTCTCCTGTAAGATTTAAAGAATATTTCAGTATTTTAATGCAGCCTTTAACAGAAAAGTCTAGAGCTGCTTTAAAGGAAGCAGTGCTGTGTTCCTTAAGATCCTTTTCCAAAAGGACTTTATTCTACCTGCCCTCACAAACAGCTCTTCTAGGGTACAGTCTTAAGATATGTGTATAAAAATATCTGGGGTGTTTGGCAGCTGTATTTAGGTTTTGTGACCTGGCTGGGTCTACACTTATTTCAGTTTTCAAAATGGAAAACAAATGAATTGAAGATAATTTTTAATATTTTTGTTGCTTCATTGGCAAGACAGTAATAGGTGTTTGTGTAGAAGCAGCTTGATTTATTATGAAGTTACCTGGCATTACCTGGGCAAGTGGAACTTAAGCAGAACTAAGTGAGGCTTAAGCTGTACTAAACTCTTGAAAAAGTCTTACATGCAAAATTATGAATTAATATATCTGTTTGTGAATATCAACAACTTGTGAAGTATTGTACAATAACTGGGGAGGAGAACTGGACAGATCAACCTTTAGGACTCATAGTTTATAAAAATCAAAGAGGCTGAATGATCCAGGTTTTCCTAAGGCATTGAGAAATCCAAAACAACAGAGGGTTTAGTTATAGAATACTCTGAGCACCATCATTTCAGTTTCCAGCTGGTTTGAAATAAATACACAGGAGGCGTTAGACCAAGTATCTGAGTTTATTAAGGCATCAGAATTAGACCCAGGAATCTGGAGAGCTCTGACAGGAAACTGCTGGCAAAGCTCTGGAGGGAAATTGGTGAACTGCAGTCTGATCTATTGGTCTCTGATGTGGGCTTGTAATAGGAAATAAAAATGAGAACATAAGGATTAACCCAGCTGTAGGAAAGATCCAGGACTCCGTCAGTACAGGGTACTTCTGCCTCTCTGGACCAGTGAGGTGTGAAGCTGATCCAGTCAGACATTTCTTACCTTGGAAGCAGCAAAATTCATTGATATTTTGTGTTTTTAAAAACATGTAAAAATCTGCCCAAATGTGGTGGGATTTGGAGAGATCTTAGAATGATGTTCACACTTAAGAGTTCAATATCAGAATGAATATCCAGATCTATCAATAACACTTGTGTTGCTTTTGCTTTGTCTTGCACCTTAATTGACTTCAGTTTCTTCATTTTATGTGTATTATTTTCTTTGTCCTAATGTCCTCTGCCCCATAAATTTCCATGCTAGCATATGAAATTCCTCACTTCCTATTCTCCCTTAATCCATGGACTTGCACAACTCCTGCTGTGATCAGCAAGAAGAATCTTCTCCTGTATTTTTCTCAAATCTTCCCCTGGATGTTATCTCACTTTTCCAAATGTGCAGCTTATTTTTCTTCTTCATCTTCTTGATACAAGCTCTGTAAAATTGATTTATATATTGGGTAAGTTGCATAAAGCCAAAATCAGGAGCACAATTTCAATCTGAAATTGGTTATGAAGAATGTTTCGTTTTTGCTGATTGCAGACCAATGCCTTTGTTTATGTACATGTTTTTACAGTGTATTTTGTCAATACCTACAAATAGCTGTAATTTAAATGTGTTTATGGCTGAGATTTAAATATGATTGGAGGGAACACTTCTGAATCAAGATAACTTTAAATTTTTATTTTTTTTCACTTGGTGAATCAGATGGGACAATGGTGAAATTGAAAAGCTGAGCCCATGGGACATGGAACCAGTCCCTGATAATGGTAGGTAGAAACCCTTTAATAAAACAGCTCAATGTGCTTTTCCCTGTTTCCAGTTCCTTTGTTTCATGCAGGTAGTGGACCTGAGGTGGTTCCTGTATTAAAGACAGTCTTGATTCAGATTTAATGACTTTGAGTATACCTGTATTTTTCCCTTTTGCATATTCCAGAGCAGTTTTGAAAAAACTACTTCAAATGTGTAGCTCTGACTTACAGAATTAAACCTGCTACTTCCAAATGTCAGGTTTCAAAAAACATCTCAAGTTTGAAACTTCACATTTGTTGTAGTATACTCTTAATATGGGGGGGTGCAAGAAGAATGTAAATAAAATTATTTCCAGGCAGTAAATCCTTACTGCACATAGTTTAAAACAAACAATTTATAAACTTTGCTGGTCAAATCCAGATTATCTGTAAATAAATGGGTGTCATTTGTGGTTTGTCTGAATATTTCGCATTTCCAGTACTTGCCAGTTACCAGCTGGGAGGGAGCAGGAAAGTTTGGGAGATACTAAGGGAGCAGTTACTGAATCAGCTGTCAAAGAGAGAAATAAACTTAAAGCAAAACTGCAGAAAAACAGAACTTAAAACATTTTTCTGTTTGTGTCTGTTTTATGTAATTTTTGTCCCACAGCCTTAGCATTAAACTCTACTTCAAGGCAAGGATTTTTTTTGTCAGTTGCAAGCATACAATTATTCCAGAAGTGTGAGTGCTCAACAATTGCTCTTGTTCTCATTCCTTCCCCAATTTGCTCTCTATAGTTGATCAGCCTGAAGAATTAGGAGCGAGTGTCTCTGTGACTTTGGAAGAGGTGGAGAAGCTCCTGTACAAACCCCAGCAGGGGGAGTGGGGGATGAAGTCCCGTGATGAGGCCTGTGAACGGATTATCCGTGGGATTGATCAGCTCATGACTCTTGGTGAGTGTGAGCTGAGCTTCAGGTGGTTTTCTCCTGATGTTACATTTATAAACAGCCTGGATGGAATATCCATAGCATCCTTTAAAAATTCCCTGTGATAAAGTACTGTAATGAGCAAGTGTTTTTCTGTGCAGTTCTTGTGTTTGTACTGAGATCTTTGATTTTATACAGTATTGGATTTTGTAACACCCAGCTCACTTGTCATGGACCTACAGGCTTTGAAATAGAATCCCAGAATGGCTGGGCTTGGGAGGCACCTGAAAGCCAATCCAGTTCCTGCCATGGCAGAGACACCTCCCACTGTCCCAGGAGCTCCCAGCTCATGTCCAGCCTGGCCTTGGGCACTGCCAGGGATCCAGGGGCAGCCCCAGCTGCTCTGGCAATTCCATCCCAGCCCCTGCCCACCCTGCCAGGGAACAATTCCTGCCCAAGATGCCAAGACCCAGCCCTGCCCTCTGCCCCTGGCAGCCATTCCCTGGCTCCTGGCCCTGCAGCCCTTGGCAATTGTCTCTGTCTTTCCTGTCAGCTCCTTCAGGCTGTCCAAAAATGAGGTCAAACAGTTAAATTTTTCTGTTCTTGCTGTTTTTAACCAGACATCTCAGCAGCTTTTGCTGGCCCAGTGGACCTGTGCACGTACCCCAAGTACTGCACGGTGATCGCGTATCCCACAGACCTCAACACCATCCGCACCCGGCTGGCCAACAGGTTCTACAGGTCAGTGCTGCCAGGGAACCAGGGAGAAACTCATTTTGGGACTCTTCAGAATTACAATAAACCCTGACATTCTCTCTTGGAGAAATTCACTATTTGAAATCAGCAAATATTAAAAAAACTCGCCTGAAGTTACTTCAGTGCTGATAGCAATCCAGATTTTGAAGTGCTGTCCTTCAGTTACTTAGAATTTGAAGAAGTTTAAGCTCTTGCTGTTTTCAGAAATGAGCTTAAACACAGGAGGTGAAATGTTTAAATATTAACAGCAGCATTTTAAAGGACAAAAAGACAAAAATTTAGAGAAGAGAAAGAGGGAAGAGTGTAATGATGGCAAAGCTCTGGTTTGCTGGATGTGCTGATCAGCCATAGCTTGAAAAGAAATTTAAGTATATTCTTCATCTGGACTTGCATTCAGTGTGTCTGTAAATACAGTGAAGAAACATTAATAGTGATTTTTTTCCTGTATGAGATGGAAAAAGAAGGTATTTGAAAATAATTGGCGATGCTGTAGGTGAAGAACTGCAGACTTGGGGTATCTCTGCTTCACAGATATAAGGAATTGGGAAAATGAGTTGTAAAAATGAAATTACACGTTTGTGGCAGCTCATTTCTATCAAGTTATAATTTCAATTTGTAGTTTCTCACAAGGGGCTGTTGTGAGCACTGTTTTCAGTGCTCAGCTGTCCTCAATGCAAGGTCTTTAAGGGAAGACAGGGACATTGTAGCTGAGATGTCTTTAAAAATGTAATTGGACAAAGCTCTGGTCACTCCTTTTTAATTGCTTCTGCTTTGTATTTATTAATTAAAAGTTCCTCAGTTATGACTCAACTTGTGTTCCTTTTCTCAAGGCTTTGTTACAAGCAGCTTCTGATATTTCCAGAGGAAATGAGATAATTTAGAGTAGTGATTAAATTATACTCTTCCCCCTTCTTTTGAATAAGTCACATGTAAACTTTTTAAAAATGCTTGCGTTTCTAAAGATTCCAGGAAATCCACAGTCCTTGGGATGATTTCAGTGGTATTTTATGATTTAAGGGTAACAAATGCTAGTGCTTACTTGGCCAGCTGAACTGAGTTTATATCACAAACTGGCTAAGGATGAATTATCAAGAATGAGTAATGAAAGATGTGCATTGTTGGTTTTGCCTCCTTGGGTTTTCCATGTGAAGGAAAAGTTTAAGACTGCCCTAAAGGGACATAAAACAGAGGACATCTAGATTGAATATAATTTAATATAATATCCAATACAGAGATATAACTTTTGCTGGTTTTAAGCTTTTCTTTAGCATTAAAGGTGCAATATTTTCTAATTTGAAGGAGAATTTCAGCATTGGTTTGGGAAGTCAGATACATTGAAAGCAATGCCAGAACCTTCAATGAGCCCGGGAGTGCTATTGCCAGAGCTGCAAAAAAAATCACCACCCAGCTCCTAAAGTTTATCAAGTAAGTGGCATTTTAATCTAAATACTGCTTTAATTCTCATGGTTTTGAACAGTGGAGAGTGAAAACAGCTCAATATCCTTTTGATGAGCCCTGTTTTGACTCTTTTAGAGAGTGAAAACAGCTCAATATCCTTTTGATGAGCCCTGTTTTGACTCTTTTCAGTGCACTGTAAGGACAGGTATGCAATTCTTAGTGTTACCTTAAGTACTGAAATGTTTAGAGGTATTTTACATTTTTTCCTGCTATAACAGCCCCAAAATGTCACTTGATATTGAGTATGTTAAGTAGCTCAGCCTGTAAAAAGTAACTTTTGTGTAGAAGTTCCTGTTGTAGCTTGTCTGACTTCATTGAAAGGTTAAAATAAACTGAGAGGTTTATTTTGAAATAAGTGTAGGCAGCCTTCCTGCAGCTGGCCCCTTTCAAATCCCTAATCCTGATTTTTATATTCCAAATAATACTCAGTTACTCTCTTCCCTTTTATATGGAGCACTTGGTTGTGGCTGAGTTTAATTTAGGAAACAACAGCTCACCTTTTGCTATTCCAGTAACAGAGATTTAATTGCATTGCAGTGACCAGGACTGTACAAACATTTTTGAATTATGTAGCACAACAGATGATGAACAAGATTGTCATGATGCTGATCTGGTAAGTTGGGGTTTTCTTGTGGAAAATTCCAGTAATTTATGGTGATAAGAAAATACCAGCACCCCTCAAATATTGTTGGTAGAATGGCTGAGTTATTTGCATAGCTAATACAAACATGGACTGTATTGGGAATTTTTATGAGTGTTTTATATAATTTATTGTCAGTCAACTGCATTACTGGTAGTATTTAATCACTCAAGTTCAAAGTTGTTGGATAACTTCTAATGGCAATTTCTGATGGTGGTTTTTCCTTTTCTCAAACCCCTGAAGATTCCAGACTCCAGTCCTAGATAAGAACTCCTTGTCCTTATCTAGGATATTGTTTTCCAAGTCTCCCAGATGCTGTGTTGTATTTTTTTTTATGCTTATCTTTTGTCTTATTGAAAGAATTAAGAAGAAAATTTAATTTTACCAAAGTCTCAAATCTAATGATGTTTTTAGCCTCCATCACCTATTTTTTTCTAAATCACTTTTAAATTAATTGATTTTATTTTGTACAGGATGATGAAAAATGTGTTCCCAGAACATCATACAGGAGAAGAAAAGTGAGTTGGACAATCTTTACTTACAACCCAAATCAGGCTGAATTTTTTCTTGCTCTATTCCAGTAATACTTTTCCTAACATTTTTCCCCCATCAAGGGACGGGGCTTAAAAAAAGGAAAAAACCTGAAAAGTGGCTATGATGAAAACTGTTGGAAGAAGCAGTGCATGGAACTGGTGAATTTAATTTTCCAGTGTGAGGACTCTGAACCTTTCAGGCAGCCAGTTGATTTGGATCAATATCCAGTAAGTTGTCCTTGATAACCTTAATCCATCCTTTTTTTTTCTTGCTGTCTCACTATGCCTTGTAAGGGAAGTATTTTAGAAAAATCTGTATTTTCATCATTAAAACGAATTTATTGACAGTCTTAAATCTGTTTACTGAGCCTGAGCTATGAATTTGATTTTTTTTTTTCCTCTCTTTAACTGTTCATGGTAATCCTACCTACCCCCTCAGTCTCTTTTTTTTTTCTCTAAAAACACAACAAACTAATTTTAAAGGAAAAAATCTTCTTTACAGCACATAACCTCTCCTGGTGGCTCCACATTTTGAGTCTCACTTCAGGTTTTAAAAACATCTTGGAGTTCTCTTAAAAAATATGAACAGGAGAGAAAGAAAGATTGAGATGTTTTGATGTGGTTTGATTTGGGGATTTTTGTGTGGTCGTTGTGTTTTGGGGCTTCTTTTGGCTGTTTTTCATACTACATATGTTGTTGCTTCAGACAGTAAAATTCAGGGGATCATGAAAATGAGATTTTAAATCAACCTGTCTCAAAAGTATTGCTTTCTTTTATGGTGCTTCTCTTTCCACTGCTGCTGAAGATAATTTATGTTGTTTTAGCTACTCCTAAAAGACAGAAATAAAATTCAAAAGTGTTGTGTTTTTTTTTTTTTCCTTTATGCTTTCACAGAAATCTTTTTTTCATATGTTTTTAATAGGATTACAGACATATTATAGACACTCCAATGGATTTTGGTACAGTGAAGGAAACTCTGGAAGCTGGGAATTATGACACTCCAATGGAACTGTGCAAAGACATCAGACTGATATTTAGTAATGCAAAATCTTATACTCCAAACAAAAAGTCAAAGGTAGCTGTAAATGTCTTAATGAAATTAAATCTTACTTTGCAATTTGTTTATCAGTACTTTTCATAAAGCTGCTGGTTGGGTAGATAGTGGGGAGAAATAGAACAGAAATTTTTAGTATGTTCATTTCCTGATTATTTGGTGTTACACAGGACTTCCTGTGCATTTCCCTATTGCTTTCCTGTGCAGTTTTTAATATTACAAATACTAGTCCTGGATCAAAGGCTCTGGTTTTAATAGAAACCATTCCCTTACCTAGATCTACAGTATGACCTTGAGATTGTCAGCGCTGTTTGAAGAGAAAATCCGAAGAATTGTTTCAGATTTCAAAAATGGGCAGAAACAGAACGAAAAGCTTCGGAGAAACCAGAGGTACACAAGAAGATTTAATAATCAAAGCTCAGTGCAGCAGCCCACCAAAATGCTCAGGTACTGAAATTATGAAGGTGTAAAGATCTGTCTCAGCTGACTGGTATTCTTGTTGACTCTCACATTTAGTCTGTGAAGAGGGGAACAACTGGGTTTTTAAATGGTTTGTAACCCCAGTGAGACTTTTTATAATTTTCATGCAGTGGGAAAAGTATGTTTAAAAAAGGAGTTTTTTTAACAGTAAGAAACTGAGAAATACAAGGAGACAGAAAAGCACAAAAGGTTGAGTTTTTCTTTAATATTTGAATCAGAAAGTCAATATTTAACTAAAATAATGAGGAATGAAACAAAGGTTTAGTTGCTGGATAAATTACAAAGATTAAAACCTGCATAAATTACATATTTTGTAACCTACAGAATAAAGTCAGTCCTATGGAATTTCTAGAAATTTTTACTTGCTTTAGCATTCAGTTGGGAGCCAGATTTGCCTTTTCTCTCTTCAATGCAAACAAACTTCTGACACAATTGCTGTTTGACATGATTAACTCCTGTTCTTAATTTGCATGTGGAACAAAATGGGACAAATTACACAAGCTAAATGTGGTAAATTACTGAAATTGAACTTTTCCTTTCTGCTGCTGTCCAGTCTTCCTTCTCTGGCAGGGAAAGGGTAGGAGTAAGAGTTTTAATTTTTTAAAAAAATCTAATTTCAGGAGATTACTTTTATACTTCAAAATAACCACACACCAAGATAGGCAGAAATTGTCTTTTGAATCTCATTTGTGCTCCTATCTGGAGAATGGTGTGTGACTGTTCAGTGGGGCACAGCAGAAGTGAGGTTTGGGATACCAGAAATTGTACACCTTGTGCACCTGGATGAATGTCTGAAAACCTACAGTGTAAGGAAAAATCTGACAAAACAGTTCTGTAGGTTAAAATAATGAACTGAACAGTATGGCAGGTATCATTCAGGCATGTGGAGGTAAGGAAGGGTCAAATTAGTGAGGTTTTCTTTATTTTGAACAGTGAACTTGTCTGTAGGGTTCTACTTTGTGTGTGTTGGGAACTCAGTTTATTGTGGAATAATGCTTCCCTGGATAGCATTTAGTTGGAGGCTCATGTGCAGTTAACCAGAGGCTGGGAATCCAGCAGGAATTGAGACTGCTGATGCAGTGAAAATAAGAGAACCTGAATTGAATCCACCATTAAATTCTGTTTCTCTGAGCAGAGAAAGGTTATCTCCTCTTGTATGACTTCCATAGAAGTGCAGACTGTTACTTTAATGCAAGTACTTCCTATTTATCTTTTCCAGAATTGTCCCACACCACAATAGCTCATAAAATACCCTCCCAGAACTACAAAATCATATTAAATATTGTTAAAATACATAACTGCCTTTTTCTCCTAGTTTAACAACCTGTGTTGCTTTCACTGCTTTATCTCACTAGAAATCTGAAGCAGAAACCATTAAAGTCTCAGGCCAAACTTGAATCTGAGCAGGAAGATTCTTTTCCTCAGCCTACCTCAAGCAGAGCCGCCTGTGTCACAAGCCATAAACCCAACGCTGGCTCCTACAACCAGAGTTCCTCGGGAGAATCCTCGGATTCCACCTGCCTGGCATCCTTTGAGAGGAATGGGAAAGCCAGAACCACAACAATAACTAATTGTTCTGCTTTATCATCAGGTCAGAATTTAGAATTGCTGCCGTTTGCATTCTGAGTTGTTAAGTGAGCTTTGGGTTTTTAACATGGAATTTTTTTTACACCAGGTTTAGGGGTTTTGTGTGATGCAGAATTTCGTGTTTTACTGGAATTCGGACACTTATATTATTTACAGCAAATGTTATAAAAAGATTTGTGTACTCTATATAATTTTTTGCTTTGAAATGGTGTAGAATACAGTAAATTTACTTTTATTAATGAAGAAATCTGTCAACAGGATAGCTTAGAGTATTTGATAATTGATATTATATAAATTACAGATTATATGCCCATATATGTGTATAAGTTAAATAAAACTTGTTATCCACAATTAGCAAATGTTTGAGACTTTAAAGCTTTCCTGTCTTTTCCCCTACACCTCACCTTGACAAAAACTCAGCTTATTTCAAAGAATAAGAAAGTAAGTTCTGGTAAAATCTGTTAGAAAATATTCTGTGTTTTGGGGTTTTTTTTAAATATGCTTTTTTTTCACTTAAATCTGGTATTTGAAAAGAGCTGTTTTATTCTTAATTGAAACTTGAATGCAGGTTAAAGAAGCTTCCTGTCACTGAACATGGCATGAATATGGATTTTGTTGAGGTATCAGTTTGATCCCTGTAAGACACTCAGGCATGAGAATGCATTTTAAGATAATGTTAGGAAATCCTGAAGATTCCAGGAGCAGCAAAATGTAACACTTCACTGGAAGCTGTTTAGAATTCTAACTGCTAATTTTTTAATTTTTTATTTTTTTAAAACAGAGAGTGAAATAGAAGGTTCTGGGGTTTCTTCATCTACTTCCTCTTCATCTTCATCCTCCTCAAGCAGCTCAGAAGACAGCAAAGGCTGTTCTGGGGCTCCTGTGTCCTCTCCCCTGCACAACGGGGTGTGCAGGAGGAACGGCAGTCGCAGGCTGACTCGGAACCGAGCTGCTCAGAGGAAACAGACAGGTAAGGTGGCAGGAGTTGCTTGTGAATAGCAAGAAAAGTCCGAATTTTTATATTCATATATATTTATAAAAAAAACTGAGAGGAGTTAGTATTTTTTTTTCAATTGTATGTGTGAGATGCTCATTTTGTTATTGGTGTTAATTTTGAAGCTCTCAAATACTACACTCAGCTTTTGAAAAGATTTTTTCATGACTAGGGGGAAGAGGGCAAAAACCAAGAGCCTGGTGAGAGGGAATGACTTGCAACATATCTTAAGAAAAAAAGCAGCAATTCATAAAGAAGTTCTAATTGTCACAAAACCAGAATGAATCTGGAATTTATAACAGCAAAAGCACCTGTCACTAGGAATATATTTCATGCTTCATATCTGTGGGTTGAACATGTCCCAGTTTTGACAAGACTTGAGAGTCGCTATTTCATATTTAAGATATTATTCCCTGCTTTCCTTTACAGGAGCACTTCTTCAGGAGAACGGGAATACGAGGAAAGCGATCAGGAAAAAGTTACATGGAAGCGACTCCGAAAATACTTCCGTGGTGACATCCGAGTCCCTGAGCAACAGCAAGGGCAGGCACAGGAAAACCCCACGCAGGAGTGCTGCCGTGGCTGCCAACAAACTGAGGCTGATGAGTGACGTGGAGGAAGAGATGTCGAGCTCAGAAAGCATTGGGATCTGCAGGAACAGGAAGCTGCCGCACCGGAACGCCTCGGCCGCCGCCAGGAGAATGCTGCTGGAGGGATCTGAGGATGAGGCAGGCCTGAAGTCTGAGAGTGACAAAGAAATAGAAGAGCAGCTCACCAAGAGGAAAACTCTCTCTCAGACTGGCTGCTCTGCTCCACGAAGGAAATTTGTCAGCGAATCTGAGAATGGCAGCTCGGATTCTGAGCCTGACACGCAGACCAAGCAGAAGAGCTGGCAGAGCAATGGGCACAGACAGCTCCGGGGCCCTGTTTGCTCTGTGTCTCCCAAAGTGAAAAGTCCCACCTTAGACTTTTCAGAGGAGGACTCCAAAAGCCATAATTCTGAGGATGGGGGCAGCCAAAAGGCTTCTGACCAATCAACACCAACACATCACAAGCCTGCAGTGAGCAATTCTGAGGATGAGGCGGACTCTGAGTTGGACAGGTGGAATGGCAGGAAAGCCTCTGGGCTGCAGCTCTCCCCTCCTTTAAAAAAAGCAAAAGTCTTGAGTGATTTAGAGGACACAGCAGAATCTGAAGCAGAAGCCAGAGAGGAGAAGAGTTTAGTGTGGGAGAGCTTGGTGCCCACTAAGATTGTGAGGCGTTCCAAACCTGGAGTTGCCTCCAGCTTCCATCACTCTTCTGATTCGGACTCGGAGAGTGACTCCAATAATAACAATTACTGTGAAACTTCTGCAAAAGCAAAGATGAGGAAGAGGAAAGGAAAAACAAAAATCATTAGAAAAGGTAACATTTTTAAAGTTAATTCCTCTATTTTTTAATGCTGAGTAAATGACTGAGAAAAGATCCAAAAGAGCAGAGTGTTTTCTCTTTATGTCCAGCTCCTTGTTTTGAGGATTTCAGTAACCAAAACCCTCTGGTTTGCAGCTCTGTTACCTTGCCTGAATTTTCTGTTGAGATTTTCTGTGCTCCAGCAAATTTGTAGCTGTTATTTTCAGTTTGAAGTAACTTTATTGATAGTTTTTCAAAATGAATTTGATGGAAAGGTATTTAAATTATTCTCACATCCGTGGTGTGTGCCAGAACCTGAAACTTGGCGTGGAGATTTTATTCTGTCAATTATGTTTAGAGTCCTTAACACAGACAGGTACTCGGCAGAAATAGGATTTATATTCCACTTGTTTCAGAAAGTTAAATTATTTTATTTTTGGATTTTATTCTGTAATTTTACCTGTCTCTGGGATCTTTGTGTGCTGGCTGATCATGATTTAGAGAGTTGGTTTGGGATGTTTTTTTAAGCTTGTGAGAATGATGCTGATGTTTATTAAACCAGGTCATGTACATTGTGCCTTCATATAATCAGGGAATGGTCCTGATTGGAATTTGAAAGACTGTTCAGAGGTTGGTGTTTGGGGTAATCCTTCCAAGTCAGTATGCTTTAAAAATATTAGAATTTTTTTTAATTAATTTATAATAAATTTAATTAAATTTATTTAATTTAATTTAATTTTTTTAACAGACAGTAGAAATTATTGTCTGTTAACATGACTCTGTCTTGACAGTTTTCCACAAGAAATACAAGAAATATTTACTTGTTTTGTCCCAAGATCTTACATTTAATGCGTAAATAGGGCCATACTTGAAGAGTTTCTATATTTCAAATAAATATGTGTTATATATACATACAAATGTAACTATATATGTGTATATACACACTGCTAAATTAGCCAGCTGAACAACTCATGTGGAAGCTTTGCTTCGGTTATTTTTTAAATATATATAATATAAATGACATATAATCTATTTTGATATGTAAAACCATCTATATGTATTTCTGGAAAGTCTATTATGTTACAGATAATATATATTATAGACATCTAAAGTTTAGCATGGGATTTTATATATCAGAAAAGGTTGAGAGTGAAGTTTGCAGCTGAATTGTGGCAGTACCTTGTGGGCTGTAGTGCCCCCTGCAGTTGAGCTGGTTGGAGCTAAGGCTGGATTTTCCTGCCTAATATTCCAGGTCTGGAGTTTGGCCTGAGCTCCAGGACACCCTGATGAACCAGATTTGCACATCTTTGTGTCTTTTAAAACCTCTTCCAGTTTCTGGGGTACTTGGTTTAATGCTCCCTCTTTCTGCCTGTGCCACCTGGCTGGACCTTCACAGCTTTTAATTCTGGATGTTCCATGGGGAATTTCAATACATTTTATTATAGATTTGTTCCAAATTTAAGGTCCTGTATACAAAGTATAATTTTAATATTCTCGCAGGTTTGCAGAAAGGCTGGATTTCTTTAGGCTTGTGTTCTAGCTACTTAATAGGAGGACAGTGTGTAAGATCTAACTCTTCTTTTTAGTCTGTGGATTAATTCACCTTTTATACAGCATTCTGCAGTGTGCAGCAGAAATGTGTTGTGCTTTGGCCATATCACACAATAAAACTACTGCAAGTGGTAATATTCATGTATCATTTCTGGAAACTCTTAACAAAAAAAGAAATAAATAATCCTTTGAAAATGTAAAAATAGAAATATACTGGAGTAATACATAAAAGGATCTACATTTAATTAAGGACCAGATTTGGTATATGAAGAGATTGTTAATTCTGGTACTCAAACTGGACATTCAAATTTGTCTCATAATTTTTCCCTCTTTGTTTATTATTTTAAATTTATTTCAAGAACTTCTGATTTATTTTTTTTTTATTCATATGTATGAATTGTTTTATTTAGAAGGGAAACACTGATCTTCATAATACATGATTCACATGTATTTGTTTTAAAACAACATAAGCAAGTTCTGTATTAATTTTAAAAAACACTGAATGGAAGATTCACTGTTAGCAGAAATCTGAGTGTTAAAGTCACTAAGTAGCTGAAGGATTTCAATATTCTCCACCTGAAACAATCTAAAATTGTGAAATATGAAATTTCATCCATATGAAATATTACAGTTCATTTTTTAGGATAAAAAGGTCTAAAATGTATAATTAATGTTGCAAGTTTTATTCTAGTAAGAAAAATACAACTTTTAATGATACAAGTATTAATATGACAGCATTGTATTAGTAATATGACAGCTTGTGTTTGCTAAGTGAGGGAATTTGTAATGTCTGAGCTAATTAACAGGATATTGGCTAAAGAAAGCTCTTTTGAGACCATGAAAAGGTTTAAAAGTGACAATCTCAAGTTAAAATGATCCCTGGGATTCTGATGGTATTTTTAGTAAAGAATTGAGATAAATTGCACTCTACAGTTGAAATCAAAATAAAACTCAATATTAGTGTATTTCATTAAAAGTGGCAGTGTTTGGGCATAGTAAACTAATAATTTCAGGAATGTAAGACATTAAAAACAACTCTGACCTCTCTGTTTTGCAGAGCCAACATCAGAGGAGGCTGGCCAAAGCGCCAAAGTGCTGCGGAGCAGGACGTGCATCATCAACTACAAGAAACACATCAAGGTGTCCAGCCTGGGGGAGAAGAAGAACCCCCGCAGGTGTGCCACGCTGGCAGCCAGCAAGATCAAGATAATGAGTGATGCAAAGGAGGAATTATCCAGCTCAGAAAGCGTTTACCCAGTCAGAAAGAACCGCAAGCAGCTCCAGGGCAGCGTGTCCTCAGCCTGCAGGAAGAAGCTGTTCAACAGCTCGGAGGTGGAGGCTTGTTCCAAGTCTGAAAATGAGAGTGAGCAGGTTTCTGGCAGGAAAAAACCTTCCTGCCCTGAGTCTTCTGTTTCTAAAAGGAAATATATCATTGAGTCTGAGAATGAAAGGACTGACTCGGAGACAGAGACTCAGAAGCAGAGCAATAACCACACACAGCCACACAAACCCCTCTGTGCTGCAGCTCTGAATAATTTTGACTATGACTCCTCGGAGGAGAATTCCACAAACCACAGGGTAGAAAATGGGGGAAACTGGGGAATTTCTAGGCAGGCAGCTTCAACCCACAACCATTGTACGAGTAACTCTGAAGAGGAGGTAGATTCTGACTTGGCTAAACTTGAAACTAAAAATACCAGAGCAGCAGCAAATAAAAAACCCAGAGCTTCTTTCAAGAGATTAAAACCAGTGGATGACTTTAAAGAAACAACAGAATCTGAAGCAGGGGGGAAGCAGGAGGAGAAAAGCTCCGTCTCCAAGGATGTGGAAGCACCTGGGACTGCAGGAAGCTCCAAAGCCAACTTCACCTGTTTCTCCTCGGACTCTGGAAGCGACACCACCATCTGCAGCGACGCCACGGAAACCAGGAAGCGCAAGAGGAAATCAAAACCCGTCAGGAAAGAGACCCTGAGCTACGACTCACTGAAGCCTTCCAGGAGGCCGCAGCGGAGGAAACGGTGGAAAGGCAGCCAGGAGCAGGACTCGGAGGAGGTGGAGTACGGCGAGTGCAGGCGGGCGCGGCGGCGCTCCAAGATCCGCACGCGCAACGGCGGCCGGCGCACCGTGCGCTACCACGACGGCGACGATGACGCCCTCGAGGACGCCGGCTGCGAAACGTAACCTTAACAAAAGGAAAGCCAGCCCATCTCTTTTTTCCTTTTCTTTGGTTTTTTTTTTTTTCCTTTTTTTTTTAAATTTTTTTTCTTTTTGTTTTTATTTTTTAATGGTAATAGCACTAGAACTCCTGATGGGTGCTGGCTCTTCTTTGTCCTACATTTCAGGGAATATATTTATATTTTTCTATGAAAAAGTTATGAATGTGATTAGATGATGACTTGCTCCTTTTTCATATTTTGACTTGCACTTGCCTGCCCATGTAGCAGCATTTAGCACAGATGCCAAAATGTGCCTCATTATAGGGGCAATTTTTTTGTCTTTACTGGTATTTTATTACATATAGACAAGAGTTAAGAAATGTTAAAACACTGCAAACAGGTTAATAGCAGTATGTTGAGTATTATTGTTATGGGTGCTGCAATGAAATACTACCTAGGTCATGCAACATTCAAGAACAGATTTCAAACATCTCTAATGCTGTATGAAATCATCTACAATAGTAACAGGCTTCTAAATAATAATACACACTCTAAAAACCTGGTGGACTTAGGGTTTCCTCTTCTTTTCAAAGAGGAATGAAAAGGCTGATAACTTCCCAGCTTGACTCAGTGCAGGTGTTAAACGTTCTGTACTTGCATTGCTGATAAGCAGTTACCAGTGAAGAAGTTGATTTGCCAGTTCCAGAGGCTTTGGTGAACAGAGGGTTCTGCTGACAGGTAGTACATCATTAATGTGACTTCTATACTGTAAACTTTTAAGATTATGAAATGCAGGTGAACTCTTGGGCCTAAAAGGGTTTTTGTGTGTTTTCTTTATAAAACAGAAAAACAAACAAAACACTTGTTCTGTTTTCTTTATGCGTGGAAAGCTTGAGGTGCAGGATTCCAACATTCCAGACCATTTTTTGCTACGTTTCTGTTGTTCCTCCATATTCCAAGTGTTTGAATGTTGGATTTCCCATTGATTAAACCTTACCAATTTCTCAGCATTGCAGTATATCTCCTGTTTTCACAATGTTTGAGGTGGCTCCTGTTGACAAGAAAGACAATTTCTCCAGGAAAATATGTGCAAGTCCCTGGTTGAACACATATCAACAACAAAAACACACAGCGACTCTGAATTCTTAATTTTTCCCTGGAATTGTGCTGGTGGGAGCCCCACGGTGGCTGCCCCAGCCCAACACCAGGGAATCTCTGCTCCTTCCCCACCCCAGGGTTCCTCCTCTGCTCTGCAGCTTCCCTTTCTCACACTCTGGAAAACCTCGGTGATTCCCGATTTCATCAGTCACTAGATGTGGCAGAGTATCGGATTTATCCTAACCTGGCTCATTTGAACTGAAACAGCAAGTTTGGGAATTGGTTTTCCAGCAGGTTGGACTGGTAGTGGGATCTGGAAGGGTTTGGGGGTAAAAAAAATGTAGTGTAGCTGCACAGTCCTGGTGAATAATGACAGAACACCTTGTACAAATGGAAATGCATCATGGAAAGGGGAGCTGGCATCAGTGAGAGCCACTTCTGCACCACCCTCACTGACATTGGCTGCGTTTACCATCACTTTTGCTATCCTGGATATTATCTCAGCATAGAGAAATACTCTTTTTTTTCCTTCCTTAAAACTTCCACGTGAAGTCCAAAAATAATTTAAATCGTTCTTGCCCCAGGCAGTTTTATTTAGAGCAGTCTTTAAATAGGATGCAGCAGAATTTTGTAAATTCAAGATAAATGTTTATCTGGGTTCTTTATTTGGTTTCTGAAATACAAACACAGTTGTGTTTAGTGATGAAATTTGAAGGTGGCTTTGTGTTTTGTTTGAGGAGCAAACTTTGTTATAAAGTAGTAAGCACTATTTTTTTATATTTTCCATAAACTTCATTGTTTAGCAGCTGCTTATTCTCAGTGTTCTCTGGAGTGCAACCCCCAATTTGGGAATAACTGAACATCAGAGTTTTTATTAATTTTCAGTTTGAACAGCTAAAATATAGCTGGCATTTTTGTATTTCTAACTAGGCTTAGATTCACAAAGCTGGTTTTCTTTCAGGTGCTGTATTCTGTCACTGCACACACAGGTTCATGGTGATCCCTGAAAGCTGGAGAAGGTTCTGGCCTCTGGAGCTGTAGATCCAAGAGGGAACCACTGCCTTAGGGACCCTAACACTTTTATTTTCTAGGCAAAGCATGTTCTGGTCTGTATTTTCTAATTTTATACACATAAGACAGTAGGAAAAAAAATTATTAAACTGGAAAGGTATTTTGAGTTTTTCAGCCTTTAAGAGTTTATTTATTTATAATTTATTAAAGGAGCATGCTGACTCTTACAGAACTGGGAGTCCTTTCACCTTCCTTTTAAGTGAGCATTTTTGGTTTGGTCTAGCTGTACTCAGGGAAGCAAAGTAGTAGACATTTTGAAGTAGGATCTTTATTTAATATGATTTTTGGGGGGTGTTTTGGTTTGTTTTAAAGCAGGGCCTGAATCTGTGATGGTGATCAGGCAGCATAAACAGAGGGAAACATTAAAGTGCAGGACAGAATCGTAAAGGAATCAAATTCTTTCCTGTTAAAGGCTTTGATGATGTACATGTGTTAGTGGACCAAAGTAAAGCTGTACATACACCTGGAATGTCACTGTGCTCTTATTTGGTTCATCCAGGCCAAGGGTCCTGCCCTTGGGTCACAACAACCCCCTGGAGCTCCAGGCTGGGCAGAGGGGCTGGAAAAAGCTGGAAAAGCCCTGGGGGTGCCGGTGCCAGGGGCTGGACACGAGCCCAGGGGTGCCCAGGTGGGCAAGAGGCCACTGGCCCCTGGGCTGGGTGAGGAATTGTGTGTCCAGCAGGAGCAGGGCAGGGATTGTCCCTCTGTGCTGGCTCTGAGAGGCCCCTCCAGGGCTGGCTCCAGTTGTGGCTGGTGCAGGAGAGCCCTGGAGGGGCTGGAGCGTGTCCAGGGCAGGGAACGGAGCTGGGAAGGGTCTGGAGCCCCAGGAGGGGCTGAGGGAGCTGGGCAAGGGGCTGAGCCTGGAGCAAAGGAGGCTCAGGGGGCCCTTGTGGCTCTGCACAAGTCCCTGGCAGGAGGGGACAGCCGGGGGGGTCGGGCTCTGCTGCCAGGGGAAAACGGCATCGAGTTCAGTCAGGGGCGGTTTAAATGGGATATTCGGGTGGTTTTCTTCACTGAAAGGATGGTTAATCCTTGAAAGAAGCGGTGGAGTCCCCACCTCTGCGAGAGTTCCGGAGCCGTCTGGATGTGTTCCTTGGAGCCGAAGCTGGGGGTAACGAGGCGGTGCCGGTGGGACACGGGGCTGTCCCTGTCCCGATCCCTGTCCCGATCCCGGTCCCGATCCCTGTCCCCGTCCCGCTCCCTGTCCCCGTCCCCGCGGAGCCCCCGGCGCCTCCCGCGCCTGTTCCGGCGCTGAGGGCGGGGCCGCGCAGGCGCGGGCCGCGGCCATGGCGACTTTCTTCGGTGAGGTGGTGGTGGCCCCGTCCCGGGCCGGCCTGGACGAGGAGGAGGAGGCGCGGGAGGAGACGCCTGAGGACCGGGAGATCCGCAGGGAGATCGAAAAGAAAAGGTATCGGCGGCGTGGTACCTTTATCCCTGGAGATCAGGGCAAGGCTCTTCTTTCCCCAGAGGGGGCTGGCACTGCCCGGGCTCCTCAGGGAATGGGCACAGCCCCGAGGCTGCCAGAGCTCCAGGAGCATCCAGGGATGCCCGGGGTGGGATTGTTTGGGGGTGTGGGCAGGGCCAGGAGCTGGATTTGGATGGTTCTTGGTGGTCCCTCCCAGCTCGGGGTGTTGTGTGGTTCCTTTCCCAGGGAGATCGATGTCCTGTGGACCTGGCAGTCGGGCGGCTGTGCCGAGGAGCCCTTGGTGTGCTCCAGGTTCATCGTGGCCATTGGAAGGAACGCTGCGGGTGCGTGCAGGGCCAGATGCTGCTGGCTTTGGGGGGTAATTTTGAGGAGGCAGAAGGTGGGAGGGAGGTGTAAATGTGCCAGGACATTCCCTGCTGCTCCCAGCCCCAATGTCCAGCCTGGCCTTGGGCACTGCCAGGGATCCAGGGGCAGCCCCAGCTGCTCTGGCAATTCCATCCCAGCCCTGCCCTCCTTGAGTTGAGGTCATTCCCCCTAGTCCTGCCATCCCATTACCTTGTGAAAAGTCCCTCTGAAGCTTTCCTTAAGCACCTTTATTTACTGGATGTGCAGCTCCTCATTTAGGAGCAGAAGTTAAGCCTGGAGGCCACTGAGTTGTCCAGAGAAAGGTGAAGTTCCTCTGTACATGTAAAACAGTTATTTTTACAGCTGTTTACTCCTCCTGAAAACTGATGTATTTTCAGTTGAATAGGAAAAGTGAAGTATGTTTTAGTTTAGGATTTTAGTTGGGACTATCCCCCTTTACCTGGCTTTTGTTTGGTAAACTCTCTGGTATTGTTTATTAATAGGCAAAAGTTTTGTTCTGATAGTACTGAGAAGTCTTGCTTACATTTAAATGACATTTAGATTTTATCAACATTAACTTTGCTGATTTGTTTGGGTTTTGTTCAGGTGTTTCCTTGAAAAATGGTAATAGATATTTTGGATCTGTCTTCTATAGCTTTTGACAGGAATCTGATTTATGAATATTTTTGCCACACTCTTGCCTCTGTTTCCTAGAATTGGTATAATAGTTCTGCCTTTCTGCTTCAGTGATTTTTGGTTTTATTCTGCTATATCTGCTACGTCAGAAAGTATTACAGACTTAATATTTCACATCCTTAATTAATACTGAAGAAATTGAAGTTGATTGTAATACTGTAATTCCTAAGAACAAGTGATTTTTATGTTAGGGATCTGTATACGTTGAACAGCTCTTCATCTTTTTTAAATTTGGGTACAGTAGGGCTGCTGACATTGCTGATGTTTCTTAGATTTGGTCAATAAAGTTGAATATTGAATAAAGTCTAAGTTGATAAAAATGAGCTATTCTTTCTTCAGATTGCAAAGGAATAATCTACTTTAGTCCAGCTATTTATTGGTAAAACAGAGGTTTTATTCTTTGTTAATTAACAGTATTTTTTATGGGTTTTGCAGCTTTCCTGTCATCTTTTATCCTGGATTCTGTGTGCTGGGAAGTGGTTGGAGTTGTGAAGCTGTGGAATGAGTGGTGCAGAACATCCAGCACCACAAATGTCCTCCCCACAGACTCTTTCTGTTTGTTCTACAGATTGATATCAGATCCCACAGTAAGTGACTTGAGCATTAATTCCTCTGTGTTTTGGCTTCCTGAAAAAGAGAGCCTTCATCCACTCCCAAACAAGGCACTACACAGGGATCATGGATTAATCTCATAAATGTTCTGAAGGGTTAATTCTCACTGAAACTCTGTGAAGTTCTGTGTGCAGCTCAGCACAAAGATGTCACAGCCTCATGGCTTCACTGCATTTGTAAGCAAAAAATCCTCATTGAAACAGAGTTAAAGAAACCCAGAATAACTGAAAAAGTTATTATCTGCAGCCACATCATCCTTACAGGTGATTATGAGCTGCTGTTGTGCTCTTTAAACCACTTGCTTACACAAGTTTTTGTTTCTTTAGGTTTTATTGTGCCAGTGTAGTTGCTACGTGGCTGAGGATCAACAGTTCCAGTGGCTTGAGAAGGTAAAACTGGCAAGAAAATCAATGGAGTAATAAAATCCTAAGGGTGGGGATCTTCCTCCCTGATACTTCCAACATGACAGTGTTAAATAAGTTTCCCCTGTGGTTTTCTTTAATTAATATTCAAAAATAGATAAATTTACTCTCTGCAGGATCTGTGAAATCCCTTTCTAGATGCTGCCAGCCACGTCTGCTGTAACCTCCCAGCTGAGGGCAGTCCCTCCATTTGGACAGTTTCAGTTTTGTTGGCCCTTAACCACTTCCCAAACCTTTTTCCTGCTTGGTTTTAATTTCCCATGGCTTATTTCTACTGTGTTTTACCTCTGGGAGAATTTTTCCTTAAAAACACCAACAGCAATTTGTACAGCTGCCAGAGGATCACCAGACAAACCAGTTGTGGAACTCCTGGTGGATGGTGTCAGCTGCTGGGTGTGCTCTATGCCTTTCCCAAGGGGGAGCTGGAGGGGAAGGTTCCTCCCAAGCAGCATTTGTCCCATTTGTTCCCAAATTTAACATTCCCAGGGCCTCACCCCAGCATCATCCAGGTGCAGGAGCGCTGCTGGCTTAGGGAAGTCCCTCCAAATATCATCATTTTGATTTAATAAGATAAAGCCAGGGGTGAATGTTCCTCCTCTTGATTTTCCTGATGGATTTGGGTCACTGCTTTGCCTGGAGGAAGTGTGGCTTATTTTGTCTTGCTGTCTGTCTGCTCCCTCCCTGCCTTTAAATCTCTACTAAGCTGCTGGACAAGCAGGGATTGTGAAGCTGTGCTTAAAGCACAGCTTTGCTGGGACATCATGGCTCGTTTGGAAGTTTAAAAACCCTGAGATCTCAAACATTTTGCTTTTGCTGTATTTATTCCCCACATTTTTACACTTCATTTAAAGTGGGACTGCAGAAGAAAGATGACTGGGGGATTGTTGTCTTCCCCAGTTGTTTGTGGATATGTGTGATTTCCAGTGTGGGTGTTCTGAACAGCAGGAGTGTGGCTGTACCAAGTCAATGTTCCTGAGTGTTTTTAGGCTTTGTGGTTATTGGTATTTTTAAATGTGCAGCAGAAACAACATGCTGGCAGTCTTTTTGCTTTTAATGTGAATTGCAGACCTGTTCTGTGTGTAAATCCTGATTTACTGAGCATCTCCCATCTCCACAAGTCAGATCTTCACATCTGGGTGTGTTTCCTCTGTTAGGCATCACTGACAAACGAGAACACACAGGTTTGAGTTCTGCAGCCATGAATTCCAGACAGTGTTCCCAGCCAAGCAAGTGAAAACATGTGGGCTTGTGAATAATTCTGTCAGATTTCTGTCACAGTGGTGACACAGCGATGGGAGGGCACAGGCAGCTTCCTTCCTGGCATTGGTACACAGACAGAAACAGCCAAGTTTCTGTCACAGTTTCCAAATTCTCAATTTTCTCTTCTCCTGTTGGTATTTTGTGATGGCCAGAAGGTTTTGTACTTCAAAAACATGAAGTTGTACTACTTTGAATTTGAGAAAGAGAATCCTAAATTTTCTTTCTCAATTCAACTTGAATAAAATAAATTCTGTGCACCTAAAATAAAGACTTTTATAATATTGTAGGACATCCAGGGAGCACAGTTTTCATTTCAAATGTTATGCAGCTCAGTGAACTGCTTGTTTTTATTTGGAATCCATTTTCTTTCTATAATCACCACTAATTAAAGCAGTAAATCTTAATATATTGAATAGAAAGTGCTGAAAACTTAAAACCTTTCCAGAAGATTAATAAATTTGATAAATATGTCAGCTGTTTTTTTGGGATTTTTTATCTCCATCCCAGGAGCAATGCCTGGGAGATTTCTACCTCAAGGCTATGATTCAAACTGTTTTTAATCCTGCAAACCTGAGTTCAAGTGCCCTTTGCACTGAAATTGAAATGAATCCTTGAGGTTCCTCTGCTTTTATTGTGAGAAGAGAAATTTTGCTGATTTTTTATTTTTTTAATTTCAGGTTTTTGGCTCCATGCAGAAGAAAGGCTTGC